AACCCCCTTTCAGGTAGTTGAAAGCAGCTATCAAATCCTCCCTCATTCTTCTCTTCTGCAGACTAAACAATCCCAGTTCCCTCAGCCTCTCCTCATAAGTCATGTGCTCCAGCCCCCTAATCATTTTTGTTGCCCTCCGCTGGACTCTTTTTCCAATTTTTCCACATCCTTCTTGTAGTGTGGGGCCCAAAACTGGACACAGTACTCCAGATGAGGCCTCACCAATGTCAAATAGAGGGGAATGATCACGTCCCTCGATCTGCTGGCAATGCCCCTACTTATACAGCCCAAAATGCCGTTAGCCTTCTTGGCAACAAGGGCACACTGTCGACTCATATCCAGCTTCTCGTCCACTGTAACCCCTAGGTCCTTTTCTGCAGAACTGCTTCCTAGCCATTCGGTCCCTAGTCTGTAACAGTGCATGGGATTCTTCCGTCCTAAGTGCAGGACTCTTTATTGTTACTCTTTAGCATTAAACTTGCTATGAAACAATGAAAAACCTCCCCCGTTGTCCTCTCTTCTCTTCCCCTTCCTCCATTCATTATCTTCCTTGGGACTCTTGTCCCTGTTTGCCCTCAAATTAATCTTTTAAAATAATTGTTTTCCTTTCTCCTTTCATCCCCCTCCTCTTTCATTCCCTGCACTGTGTTTCCCTCCATACCCACTCTGTTCTTCCCCAACAACATCATGAAGTAGCCAGCTCATCTTGTGGGCATGTCAGTGTCTGCAGGATTGCCAGCCCCTTAGATATGCACTCCCAGAGTAGAGAACTTCTGAAATACAGGACACTACACGGACACACACACTGCAGCAGTTCAAGGTTGGCCCAAGCTCCGTTAGGAATTGAAGTAAGGTGAATGAATGTGAGAAGGATAGCATTGGCACACCAGTGCCCAGGAGTGAAGCTTATTATTAAGTCAGGGAGGGGGAAAAATGTTTGGAAAGTCCCTAGTGTGTTACGGGCACTATCAGAATACAAATATTAAATGATAAAGTACCAGTGGTACTGGACACAGTTGGTTAAGCCTAAAATTGAATTCTTCACACAGCTTAATTGCATGACAAATTATAGGATTGCTACCCCAATCATGAATGACATTCAGTTGTGGTAGCTGTCATGTCTTTCCTCAGTTTTATTTTCTTTTATACTTAACTTATGTACAAGAACCTCAGCAATCCACACTAATTGCAGAAGCATATTGCAAATTAGCATGCAAACCACCATGACAATAGCTGATGGACTCCTAGTAATGTACTGCAGTATCGAATATTTTGGAAAGGAATTTTAGTAAGTGCTGCATTTAGATCATATGTTTCCATTAAATCTTTGCTGAAGAACAGAGGCCCAAGAGATAAATGTATGTCAGTTACTTGGATTTGCAAAAGAGAAGAATGAAAGTTAGTGAGATTCTACTGTAATATCTAATTTTATTCAACTTTTGGTTCTCACCCCTGCACACCTAACTTGGGGGAAACTGCTGAAGTTAAAGGGAGTTTTCCCTCAGTACGCATCACAGGATTATGGTCTTAAAATAAACCAAGTTTTCCTAGGAGTAAATGGTTAAAAAAGCCTCAGATGATACACACATACATTATCATAATACAACTATATAATAATGCAAAACACTCAGACCCACATGTACTAAAAAAAAAAAAAATCAGATCACCTGTTTACGCATGACTGATATGAGAATAACAAACTATTTTTGGTGACTCCATGCAGTGGCAGGGTGTTTGCGTTGCTTACGCTAAGAGTGTTTCCCCACATCATCTGAGACTGGAAAACAGTGGATTTCCAGGATACAGGTGTGACGGGTTGGACCCCCCTTCCGGGATGCCACCTGATGTATTTGGGGTCCCACTGAGCCTGCCTGGTCCACTATCCTGGGCTCCCTCACCCGGTCCTGCTTGCTCGCTCTCCCTCCCTCCCATCAGCTCTGTGTGGGAAGACAGCTTGGGAAATTGCCCAGCATTCTGGTGCACACACCCTCTGGAGTGTAAACCCAAAATTATATTGTCTTGCGCTGCAGAGGAGTCTATACAGTGTGAGCTTATGAAATTTGCCCCCTCCCTCACTGTGGAAGATATGCACAGCTTTTTGCACCCCCAGTTATGAAGTACACAAATGGGGTTTTAGAATTAAAAAAACAACTTTATTAACTACAAAAGGTAAATTTTATGTGATATGGGATAGCAAACAGAACAAAGCAGATTACTGAGCAAATAAAACAAAACACGCCAACTAGGCTTAATACATTAAAGAAATTGGCTACAAATAGTAATTTCTCACCCTAAATGTTGTTTTATGCAGGTTGCGGAGTTTCTTGAAGGTAAACTGCACTGCTTGCAGCTTAGAGTTTCAGGTATTCCTTTTCACAGGCCAGACCCTTTCTTAGCCTAGGTCCCATTCCTTCTCCCTAGGTCAGTCTTAGGTGTTTCCAGCACTCATCCTGGGTGGGGATTCAGTGAAGAACCAGCAACCTTGATTGACTCACTTCCCAGCCTTAAATAGGATTTACATATGGCGGGAATCTTTTGTTTCCCAGTTCAACCCCCACCCCATCCTAGTGGAAAATACCAGTATCAGATGACATGATCACATGACCCTGCAATGTCAAAGCAGCAACCCAGGTAACTTCTCAAGAAGGGCGGGAGATTAGTATCTTCAAAAATCTTATTGTTCTCCCAATGGCCCATTCAGGCCTACTATCTGGTGGGCGTCCCCAGATGCAAACACTTTTGCAATTTATACAGAGCTAATATTCCTAACTTCAGATACAGAAATGATACATGCATACAAATAGGATAATCATATTCAGTAAATCATAACCTTTCCAATGATAACTTACATGACCCATTTTGCATAAAATACATTTTAGTTATGCCAAATTCATATTAGCATATTTCTATGAAGAATATGGGACATGATGTGACAACAGGAGCTACTGATACATAAATTAACACAATATTGCTGGAGCACTGGAAATAAAGAAGTTGGACACAGAGACTGTGCTCGTCTGCTTACCAGTAATGATTACTTTGACTACATATGATTTGCAGGGATATCAAGGTTTATTTTTGATAACGGCAGTGGCAGTTTTTAGGGTTTTGCAACTTGGAAGGAAACGGAGGGGACAAAGGACTGGACCACATTTGCCGCTGGAGCCTGGCTATTTTTTGCACTTCTTCTCTTGTATAAACGTGAAGGCTGTAAGACAAAGCAGAGCATTTAGCTACACATGTTAACCCTTGCTAGTGTATGTGCTGAGTGAGCTCTATACAGTTCTACACTCTACTGGAAATATTTCTTACTGAGAAAATATTAATCAGACATGGTAGAAAAGATAAATTTTAAAATGACTTTTTGGAAGTTCTCCACTCTGACTTAAGAGGAAACAAAATAAGAGTTAGATTTCCTTTTGAATATTTGTTCCATTGTCTTTTCTAGGACATATCATGATGTTTATTTCAATACCGGTTCAGCTTAATTTTCTGTGCTATTTACATATTATAAACTACATCTCCGTGACATCTCCTGGGTGTCATCAACAAGTTCAGTCCAAAGTTTAACATATGACTATTATCATGGCTGTGATAAAGATGCCTGGATCCTGCTCCCGTTTAACTTAAGGAAAGTATTGCCATTGACTTGAAAGTCATTAGAATTGGTCCCAAAAGCTTACTGATAAATACATTATGTACCAATTCTTGCAAGCCCTCACCTGCAGAACTTCCAATGATTTCAACAGGAGTTCCAGGTGCTGAATGTTAAAAGACTGGACCCTCGATTACCTCATTCAAAGTGGAAACCTAGAAAGGGCCACAAGCTCATGGGGATTAAACTCCTGCAATTTCAGAAGTGGTCTCCTCTAGGAAGAGGGGGCTTTAGGAGTCAGAGTGGGAAAGGCCAAATCCTGCCAATCATAGGATATGTCTACACTGAGCTGGTGGTGTAATTGCCAGTTCGGGTAGACATGCCAGTGCTACCTCTGATCGAACGAACGTGTTAAAAATAGAAGTGTAGCTACAGCGGCACAAGCAGCAGGATAGGCTAGCCACCCAAGTACAATCCCATCTGAAACGCTAGATATGTACTCGGGGTATCTAACCCCTCCAACTGCTCTCCCTGCTGTGCCTACACTTCCATTTTTAGTATGTTAGCTCATGGAGGAGGGGGGAGAAGTTGTTGTTCCAGGTATGGACCATTTCTGAGAAAAAAGTAGTTTTTAGATAAACTGTTTAGTGATGTTAATGTTTACTTCTCTCTAAATATAAATATATAAGAGAGATTGGGTGATCCCATGATTTCTGCCACTTTGAGTAGCATTTCAAACAGCAAATGAAAACTTGCCCTTCTTGATCAGTTTGGGTTCCAATGCAGATCTGAAACCATAAGGATGGATTTGGATTCATGTGTTTGAATATGAACCACTTGAGAGTGCAGATTTTAGGGTTCTGGTTTGGGCTTATCTCTGAACAGAAGGAGAAATACCTGTTGTCCAGCAGGTATACATGGTACCTCCAGCAACAACTGATTGGCTTTATTGGGTTTGATTTGCAGTATGTATGGTAAATGATTTGTCTTTAACTCTTAAAGCTTTTCTCTCTTCTACTCCCACCCATTCATTTTTTTCTTTGTTAGGTAATCTGATTGTTTCGTATGGAGCTGATATATCAGAAAGGGTGCAGCCTGACATGGCATTATGGAACACAACTGGAGATGATGGGATGTTACATTAAATATTTCTGGGATAGATGTGCCTAGCACAAATCCACAGATCTAAATGCCCTTACACTTTGGACAAGCTTGTATCGGTCATGGTCAGACCTATTTCTAGTTTCAGGTAGCAAAAAATTGATTTCTGTGTATTCACATCAATTGAATGGAAAGATGAAAGAAATTTATATAACAATAAGGATGGGCAAACATTCTGGGGCTAAAGTGAAGAAATTGCTAATCCACTTACCTCATAAAGTGTAGGATGCTTAATCCTCTTGAAGATAGTGTCAACTGAGTCTTGCTTCTCTTTTGACCCCAACTGGTGGAGAGGTTTGTGACTTGTTAGACTGAGAACCTTTGAAAAGTAATTTAGAGCAGTGAAGTTACAGAATAGCCTCCTGTGAGCACACCAGTTTGTATTGATAACTAACATCCTGTATAACAAAGTGTTTGAGACTCTTAGCTCACTAAACCAATAACATCTGATTCTGATCTCACTCTCATAAAAATCCAATGGATATCTCTTGACTTCAGCTCAATTTCTCCCAATTCATTGAAAGGGGAGTTCAGAATCAGTCCCCCCCCCTTGTATTATTTTTTCTTTCTGTGAGAAAGCAGGGTGCAAATTTCCAAAGCACATTAGCTGGAAGTGGAAGATCATCATGTGTGCCAGATCGGCTGGATGCTCTTCACCAGCTCTCTGAATGCTCTCCCATCAGTTGGGGGCAGATGTACAGCTATGTGACTGAGCAGCATTTGGGCCTGTATCGCTAATGCCGTTGTTTATATAAATTAGTAAGCCAATTAAACTGGAATGAAAAGTCCCATGCAGGTTTAGCATTTGTATGCTCAGTGGGACATGGTATTAGCATATATTGTCCAACGCCTTGTGCAAATAGAAGCAATGGTCTTTGGGCTGGTTGAAAGAAAAGAGATTGAGCATAAATTTAAGGTCGTGAGCTTTGATAGGAGAAGTACAAGGCTGAAAGACTCACCTTGCAGAATGGTCTTTTGATCAGTCTTCACAGGAGGCGCCCTGTTATCATGCTAACTACCGTTGAATGGAGATGGATAGGGAGTAATTCAAGCCAAGTCAAAAGAAATTAAATTGAGAAGTAGACAGTTTATAATAGCAACTCACAGGGTTTGTGATTTTAAAAGTTATCTAATTTTAACAGTTTTTGCTATATCAATGACAATGCTTGAGGTATAAAAGCAGATTAACTTGAACTTACCTTGTATATAGGTATAGACCCAAACACAACACCAGCCTCTTTGTTTCCTGACTTGAAACTTTCCAAAGGTTGTCTATTAATCTTAAAAATAGAAAACAGAGTCAACATATTTCCAGTTATAGGCAACAGCAAGATAGTAGAGATAGCATCTAGTGGAGTTTCCATAAATCTACATAGGTAACATTCACTCCATATTACTAAAGAAAAAAAAAAATCACAACTGCAAGTTGGGTTTGTGTCCAGTTTTGTTTCTTTGCCATATATAAAAATGGCCTGGGAGGTTTTTGTCCAAAAATTGGGGGATGGGGTTCTGCTTGTTTTATAGCGAATGGAGAGTTGACCTAACTAGGTCGAGAGCTGAGCCAATGAGGGCAGGAGGGGGGGGGGGAGAGGGAGGAGAGGGAGAACTTTTAGTTCAAAACTATTTGAAAACATATTTAACTCCAATGCCTCATGAACACCTGGAACCTGGGAAAAACAGACATGCCACTCCGGATATAGCAAAAGTTTTAAAAAAACTGATTTTTCAAAACCCTTCAGGCATTCTTTATACAAACATAAATATGCCAATGAGGTCATAATCTCAATTTAAAAAATAATTTTTAGGTCAGTTTTAAGGGTGTATGTTGGTTGGGGGATGTTGCTAAAGGAGGGCTGAGTTCTAACCCCAGTCACCATGAGATGGTGGGCTGGGAACTCCCAGGGGACCCCACTCCCAACTGACAGTTTCATTTCAGAGGAGTCAGGTGGGAAATCTCTTTGAGCATGCAACCCTTCACTCTTCAGCTGCCTATTAGGAAAAAAAAAAATAGGTGGAACAAAATGACATTTCTGCTGTATGTTGATGGAAAGGCCAAATTTGTGCAAATGTTGGATGTACTTTGATAATTCATCCATGCAAAAATATTACTGCTAAAACCTACCTAGGTTATTAGAGTCCATGAATTTGACACTGGAGGTCAATAGCCTTATATGATATAGTACTGATTTCCCACTAGGAACACAATTTATGATCATGCAATAGGGAAAAATATATCTAAAAATGAAATACTGTCAGGTTTTCATAAAACGCTGAAATATGCGGTTTCTGCAAAATCAAATTGCATTTTAAAGAAAGTCCCTAATTAAATTTTATATTAATCCTTTTTTATAGAATCCTCTGGTAGATAATTTAAGTGCACATGCAATTGTTGTAGTTTAAGAGAATTCACATCCTCGGAATTAAAAAAATCCCTCATTAATTTCTTCCCATATATCTCAGGTTTGACTTCTAGACTTCTTAGCTTCAGCACTGATAGCATCACAGAATTAATGTTAATTCATTGAGGTGCATACATGTGATTTGAAAGTGCCTATGCAGACCTCTAGGTATTTACACACACCTTGAAGAATATGCAAATATGCTGAGATGTATTTACATGGTCCCCTATAGAATAAGCAAGATTGTGTCAACACTTTCAGAGGTGTCCATGAATTAAAAAAGTAACTGAAGACAAGAGCAGTCTCCTCTTACGTGATGATATGGCCTCTCAGCCCGATCATCTTTTTCAAAATTACCAACTTAAGTAGTATAAGTCACAAGCTAAAACGCAAATCAGAAGTCACCAGAGCACACACCTGTTGAGTTGTCCCACATTCTATTCAGCCATTGAGTTCACTTCAGTAATACAGCATATTTTAATATTATATGCCATCAGTATTACCCAGTATATTCTTTTCACATTGCTCTCCCCCTCTACTCTACCTAACGCTGCCATACAATAGAGTTGGGTTCTAATCACCAATAGTTCCTCGCTTTGTAGGGAACATTCGACTATCCCACAAAAGCCACATCTGTTCCCTTTGATGTAATAGCAGGCATTAGAGAAAAATGATGTCTGGAGCCTGTGACCAACATAGCTTAATGGGAAGCATATTTGGCAGCCTTTGGGGCTAAAGTGGCAGAATACCTCAACCACATGGTTGTCATCACCCTGAAGTAAGCCACACACTCCTGTCATGGGGCCAGGAGGAGTAAGACCCAACTATGCCACTTTTAGAATCTCAGTGAACAGGGACCAGGAGAAAGGAGATGCTGGCTGTCAACCTAGGGGGACATGCATCAAAGAGGAGCATATCATCCTCACCCCATCCTTATTACCCAAGGGGCAGGAAGAGTGGAGTAGCTGACCATGAACAATAGTGATGTCTTGTCCCAGACAATCTGCCTTGGGACCATGGGACTCTTGCATTCTGCTGCCGTAGTTGCCAGAAAGATTTTTGGTCTGCCAGAAGCAGCTCTGGTAGATAATTATATCAGTTCTGTTGGCTACATTAAGATAATGGCTGACTGTACAGATGGGGACACAATATCAGGAATTTCAGGAGGATGGCAGGAAGTCCACACCCTAGCTTGCTTCTCTCAGCCATTCTGTCATTGAAGGACAGGAATGCCACTTCATGGAGGAGTAGAGAGAAGCTCACATAGCAAAAGGCCACTTGTTCTCACTGGACTGGCTCTTTTTGTTTTTTGCCTTTCCAGTACACCTTGCAGGGAGAGGAGACAATCTGACCCAAAGGTGCCATGTACCAAGCCAGATAGAGAAGCATGTATAATGCACTTCCACTCTGCTAGAGCTGTGCAAAATGTTCACAGTGAAATTTAAACTGACACAGAACTTTCCAGATTTTAGATTTAATTAAAACCTTGAAGTGAAGACCAGACATAACAAGAGATTTGCCAGCATTCTCCCCTACCTTTCAAGCAAATCTGTGATATTTAGGGTTGAACTTCTCCTTAGTGTACGTGCAACGTGCCTCAGGTGGCATGTGACCAAGATTTATCACCGAATTTGGGCCACTGGTTGGATCATTAGTTTCCCCGGGCCGGGTACTGATGGGGAGTGCGACGTGAACACGGATCCATGTGCCCCAGGGTTTGCACTCAGTTGAACTTCCCTAGTTTGTATCAAAACCCTATAAAACTTCAAATTTCACAGGGTTTGCACTGGAACCATGTTTTATGTGGTTTTGATACAAACTAGGAAAGTTCAACCGAGTATCACTCAGACTTGGTACTTGGAAGTGTGAAACCATGTGAATTGAAACCCAACAGTTTGCACAAACCCCTTTGATTATTTCTATCCTTTTCTACAGAACAGGCCTTCGACATTTGTTTTGGGCAATTTTCCAAATGTAAACATCTACCAGAGTATTGCATAAAAGAAATACAAACTGATCATGTCTCTTCACCTACCTTAGGAGAAGCTAGAGCTTTGAAAAACTTGAAATCCTGATCCACTTCAAAGGGTCTAGGCTTTTTTGAAAGTAAGGATGATTTGGTCAATGATTTCCACCTGTTCACAAGAGATAGGAAGGAAAAAACCTGATGTCTATAAACAGAGGGCAGCATGCAGTATCACACAATTAGCTTAGAAATACAATTACTTTGAATTATAATTCATTCTGTATCTTGGCAGAATAAAATTTAATGTAGGTGCTTGATAAACATCATGAAATGTTACTTAATTAACACTTCACCAATCCAAGTGGGATTAATTTTCTTTCACTATGTATTTGCCATCTTCAGGCTGGTATGTTTATGTACGGATCAGGAATTATCAAGACTAAACTCCAATTCACTGTATCATAATGACTCAACATTACTTTCCATCTAGAACATAGTGACAGTATGCCAGGTTCTAGGCATGGGTAATGGTCCTCTCTTGGGGAGCATGGCCTAGCGGTTATGGCTGCAACTCCTGACTGCCAAGGGGATTGTGGGAAGGGGAGCTCCAGGCTCTCCCACTTCTCTGGGCTCTGACCCAGGGCCCTTTGGGCTACCAGTAATCCGGCAACCAAGGCTGCTTAAGACTGTCCTCCCTGGGCCTCTTCCTCTTGAGAAAGGCATCCTTAAGTGAAGCTTCCTTAACTCAGTAGGCTTTAATTAACACATCTTTAACTGCAAAGGCTTCGGCTGAGGCGCCCTGTATTCAACACAGCCTAAGGGCCCAATCCTGTCAATATTGCCAGGCATAGTTCTTTATTCATGAGTTACTGAACTGACTTCAGTTGGACCACTCACCCTGGGAAGAATTATGCTTACTGGTAAGTGTTAGCAGGATACAGCCCTACACTTCGGACCTTACAGCAGCATAGCTGTACTACTACAGCTGTGCCGCTGTAAGGTCTCCCTGGTAGCTGCTCTCCTGTCAGCATAATTAAAACCACTCCCAACAAGTGGCATTAGCTGTGTCCGCAGGAGAGCCTTTCCTGCCAACAGAGCACTGTCCACACCAGCGCTTTTGTCAGTGAAACTTAGGTCAGTCGGGGTGTGTTTTTTTTCACATCCCTGACCAACAAAAGTTTTACTGACAAAAGTGCTAGTGTAGACAAAGCCTAAATGATTATGGTCATTAATACTGAAGCATTCCCAAAAAGGCTTTGGCAAAAAGGCAACCCAAAAAATGACTAGGATGCTGTACTGCACACCAGACATATAGTTTAAGTGTTCATCACTTCAAAAGTCTAAGTAATTTTTGTCCAACTTGAACTGCTTTCCTTCCTTGCCAAAGCCTACATTTGGGCCAACTTTTAAACTTCTAGCTTCAGTATTTGATTTCTGCACATGCAGTCACTATCTCAGCCAACACACTGGGGGTTGAACCAGAGTTAAAAGTATGAGCTGCTACAGTTTGACCTAAAGCACTGAAGCTGGGCTGAGACATACTCACATCCTCTGTGGATTGCCACAGACAGGGACCTGTAACTCATCCCTCACCAGTGGTTACATAACGTTCATGAAGCTCTGAGCTTTGAATTATGAACACACACACCAGAAAATACAGGAAAAATGCATTTTTATTCTATACCCCCATTCCTCAACAATTAAGCTGGTTTTGCTTTAACTTTTAGAAGGCTTCATCTTTGTGTTGAGATCAGGTAAGAAAAAGTTTTATTTTGAAACTATTTGGTTTTTAGAAGGTTCAGTCAGCTTGCGAGGGTAAGAGGGAAACAATTTCCCAAACTTAACAAGAGTGTATGAGCTAAGATGTGAAAAAAATATCTAAATACATACATTCTGATTAACTTTAGTGATTATCTAATTATCACAGCAGAGAATTAGTAGTTAGAATTCCAGGGCTCCAGTCCTGGCTCTGCCGCTTGCTATATGACTGAGTAAGTCACTTAACCCTGTGCCTTAGTTTACTCCTCTGTAAAATGGGGATACAGTCTAACTCACGGAGTATTGTAAAACTTGTTTGCAAAGTACACATCCTCAGATGAAAGATTTTCTAAAAGTGTGATGTGTTTGTTCATAGTCCCCAATGCACGTGTAAATAAGTGTTTATGAGCTTACTTCTTCCTGTCCAGTATTAGAGGATATTCAAACTTCTGCTTCTTTTCCATGTACTTGCTGTCTTCCTTGATTATAACGGGAAATTCATTAACATCACAGGGCAAAATCAAATCACTGGATTCTGATAATTCAAACACCCTGCGCTGTCCGAAGTAACCAACATAGTGTCCATTTGGTGCATGCCAGAGCCTAGAGGTGCAGAAGAAGAGATGGAAAAAGTGGGTAAATTTAGAAACTGAAAGAAAGTGAAGTGCCTTTAGAACAATATTATGTAATTCAGTAACCCCTGACCAGTGTAGTAGACTAGTTATAAGACAATATCAGAGTTAAGGTTGAGAGTACATAGCAAATTAAGTAAATTAAGGGTAGAAAAACCTTAGAAGATGTTATAATTATAAAAAATAATAATTAAAAACCAAGACATTCAGTGCCAAGGCTAAAATTAAATTTTAAAGTGTGAAAGTATGGAAATGAAGAGTTAAAGCACTTCAAACAACCTCAACTGTCTCTGTAGAGAGATGCCGCCATCAAACAGATTTTTAGAAGTCAAATTTCCTGGATTTGTTAATTTGTTTCAGAAACTTGAAGTTTACTTTTTTGTTAAGCGCAAACTGCATAAGGGGCTATAAAACATTGTTCTTTAGCCAGGAAATTGCAATGGTTTAATCTGCAAGATATCACATATAGGGCAAAATTAATTTGACAAGCACCCGCACAAAGTTAAAATGGGATCCAAAAAGGAGCTCATTTCCAGAATGATAGGGCCTTTCTTTATGTGCTCAATTTCACACAATTGGAAGAAAAACTTGGCTGTCCATCTCTGCACATTTTGTGAGACTGGTGGGGTTCAAACTAAAAAAAAAAAAAAAAAAAAAAAATGTATTTGAGACCTCGGGGGAGGGGAAAAAGAGCGGATGTATTATGTCTAAAGCTAAGCTGTGCACATGCAGAACTGATTTTTTCCTCACCAAAACAGATATCTATAATTATTTCAGTTCTGAGCTAGACAAAAGTCAGGCAAAAGGGGAGCTCTGGGAAAAGAGAATCCATAGGCTAAATCAATAACAAATGTTAGCCATGTCTGTACCTGACAGAACCATCCACAGAGGCTGTCACTACCAGGTTTTTCTCCTCCTCGTAGAATAGGCTGACCACTTTGGTGGAATGAGCTCGCCAGTAGAGCTGCTGCTTTATTTGCTGAGGGGAGGAAAGCAAAAAACCAACCAAACAAAAACCATCGCTGGCCACATTTCAGTCTGCTATGCACTCTAACATTGTTACCACCACAGTGTCCTTACGAAGCAGGCTGTATTCAGACTCTAAAGAAGTGAGGTTACAGGGGTGAAAGTAAGTTAAGGACTTACCGGTATACCTGAGGCCTAGGCGGGGCAGAGCCTCAACCGGAAGAGGTGGGGCCTTTAAATCAAGATTTAAAGTCCCGGGGCTCTGGCTGTAGCTGGGAGCCCCAGGGCCTTTAAATTACCCCTGGAGCTACCAGCTGCAGAGGCAGCTGGGAGCCTCGGGACTCAGGGGAGATTTAAAGGGTAGTGGCAGCAGGGCTCCGGCCGTGATTTAAAGGGCCCAGGGCTCCCCGCAGCGGCTGGAACCCCAGCCCTTTAAAGCGCCACCCGAGCCTGGCTGCCGTAGCCCCGGGGTAGCGGCAGCAGGGCTCCCATGGGGATTTAAAGGGCAGGGGCTCCTGCTGCTGCGGGGAACCCCGGCCTTTTAAAGCGCCGCCCGAGCTCCGCTGCCTGAGCCCCGGGTGGCGGCGGCAGGACTCCGGCAGTGATTTAAAGGGCCCTGGGCTCTGGCCGCTGCAGGGAGCCCTGGGCCCTTTAAATTGCCAGCCTGGGGAAGCCAGTCAGGTCCGGCACGGCGTACCGGCTCTTGGCGGTACACTGTACCGGCTTACTTTCACCTCTGTGAGGTTATGATAAAACAAGCTGAAGGCAGTGTGCACAAAGACACTAGGCTAAATTCATCCCTAGTGTAACTCCACTGAACACAATCGAGTTATGCCAGGAACATTTTACTCTTGTTCTTAATGTTGTTCTTAGTCTGAAATAGACAATTCAGACCAAACATATAGGCTTACTATTTGTAGATGGGAAGAAAGTGGACTGAACTGGTCTCAGGATTGTGAAGTATGATTCCATTTTTTTCTACCTGTCATATGTGAATGGCAAGTTATTCAGGTGGAAAAATGATTTTTCATTCTCACCTTATTTTCATCTTTTGGATCTTCTAGGAATGAACCAGTATTCCAGCGCATAATATGCCCCTCTGTGTTTAAAAAAAAACACAAACAGAATCATTTCAAAAGAGGTTCAAACCTCTTTTTAAGTGCCCTCTGTTGCTAGATATGCTACCAAGTGTCCTGGGTAAAGACAAGGTAGAAGGAAGCCAAGGGTCTGGGCATTGAAAGTTAGTTTTTAGGATAATGTAAATGTCACTTAACTATTTCATTAGCAAACAAAGGAGAAAATGTTAGTCCATATGTTACAATGAAATACTGATCTCCAGCCTATTTATTAAGAATGTCACATTAACAGCATAGATTTAACTGTTTGTTAAAAGCATCTAAGAATTTTAAAGAATTACAAATGCACAAAGACGGTCACCCACTAAGCAGAGTTAGCTACTGCATAGACCAAACATGAGGGAGTTTCATAGGGGTGACATTTTTCATTTTAAAATGACAAACTGGGCAGAGTTTGATTAATCACATGCATAATGACAAAGAAAATAACTCATGCCTTTCTAGTGCGCTCATGTGGGATACACAGTCCAAGATGAGGGAGACTGACTACTGAAATGGGAACATTTACCTTGATATAGTGTCCCTCCACTGCTCCTTGCTCCAGTTTTCTTCCCATGTTCCAGTTCCTCCATCACCATTGAAATCTCCCCTTTGTTGCTCTCCCACTAGGAGGCTTCTGGGTAGTCACAACAGCCACCCGTGGCAGACCTAGTCTCTAGAACTGTACACTTGGGCAGAGAGAAATGTGGGCAGCCCTAGTGGGGAAGGATGAGAGGGGAGGAGGAGGAGATAGCAGCAGGTGGGCTAACAGAAGCTATCCAGGCAATATAGCAATGGGTGTTAGCAGTGGGGAGAAGGGAGGGGAGTGCAGGACTCACACTGAGCAGAACTGGTAGGAAAACCTCATGCAGCCACTTAGAATCTGCAGCCAGTAACATGCAAGCAGGTGACCAAAAGGGGAAAGCATCAAATGCAGGAGAAAGGTGGTATGACAGTAGCATGGAATACTCCTCCATGAACAGTCAAAAAACTCCTTGCTGTCCTTTGCAATATGAGATAGTTGATTAGAGAGAAAGCTTCTCCTTGAACCTCTGTCCATTTTTAGGGTATGTCTACATTGCAACCAGGGGTATGGTTTGAAGCTCATGTAGACATACCTATGCCAGCTGTACTCTAGCTGGCACAGCAAAAATAGAAGTGAGGATGCCACAGGTGTGGACTTCAGCATGAGTTGCAAAAACCCACCTGACCTCCCTGTGTGCACATTTGTTTGCCTGGCTAGTGCTGAAGTCCACGCCATGGAGTTTTCACATCTATTTTTAGCAAGCTAGCTAGAGTACAACTAGGGTGGCCATGTCCACACAAGCTACCCCATTCATACCCCTGTTGCAATGCAATGCAATGCAACCTTGGTGTCAACCTCAAACCATTGTTACGTTCTGAAAGGCCTGGAAAAGCTTTTTCCATCTCACTTTTGCCCAGCAGCAGACAGGAAGTGTGGAATTACTGTGAGAAACTCTGTTCTCATGGGATTTCCAGCAGGAACAGAAATGTAAGTACCTGATGTCTCATGAGATAGATGGAGACAAAGAAGATTTTCAGGCCAAGTTTGAAGACACAAAGAGTCACAAAGTTTGAAGAGGTTTAGATAAGCTTCAGATAAGCAACCAAACTTTTGCATATTTTGCCAAATGAAAGCCACCTTCAAACTGTTGAGGTTCACTAAACATTAAATTAACGATCAGAGAAAGGGCTGACGGCAGAGGCATCAGTAATGCTTTTTCCCCTCACATTGCTGTGTATTTATGAAACAGAAGTCATTGTTGTATACTGAGCTTTTCACTGTCCACGAACTACCTCTGTCTGTGTGCAACAACTGCAGTCAGTTTGCTTTTAGTTGCGGCAGCCGGTTATGGAGCATGTGGGACTTTTGCTTATTCTTATTGTTAATCTTTGCCCTTAGTCTAAAATGAGGGAATTTAGATGGTAAGTATATGGGAGTTCTTTGTGTAAAGAAAATATAACACTGCTCTTGAAAGTAGCCTCCGTACTGGCAGTGTTGTTAGCTTCTGGCTTTAACCTGCATTCCTTACTCCCGGACTCCCCTGTCCTTGATTTTTAATGCAGTTTTGCTTTGGCCCTTCATTGCCACATTCCCAGCATGTTTTTACGATAATCTTTTTCAACTGCTACAAAAGAGTCAGGTGAACTGTGATTGAGAAGCGATCACTTACCCTTGGTGGCTGCTAAAAGCATTTTAGCAGAGATATCGGTGCACAGAGCAGTCAGAGGAATTGCAGGATGCTTTGTGAAGGGCAAAACTTCTCTCAGTAAATCTCCCTAAAACAAACAAAGTCTGCTTTCCTCTATACTTTATCCACACAAAAATCAAAGCAACAGAAATTTTATCATGTTAACATGATGCAATGTTTTCTGTTGCTTTGATTTTTCATGCATTAAGTAAATAGCAAATCATATTAGTCAGATTTTATACCAATAACGTACATTGAGCTGCTTTATTATACCTGGTGGGTTCAATATCACAGTTAATTAAAACCGCTGAAGTCCCTAAAACCTTTTAATAATATGTCTTAATTTAGCCACCTAGAAGCAAACTCTTCCGTCTTGTAACCCATATTGACGTCAACCGGATTGCACAACATGCAAGTCATACCTGACCCTCTACTCATTTATACAGGTACACAGCCCATTATTGCTACATTATTTTTCAAAGAAAGAGTCAGTTAACAGAGCAGATTTCCTCTGATAAGTGGAGCAGCAGACTCTGCTTTGCCCATCACAGTGTCTCAAAAGGCAGAGGAGGTGGATAAAGGATGGACCCCAAGGGAGTTACATACCTTTTCAGACTGTTGTCACTACAATTATTCTAAGTCATGATTTTCCTCCTGTTCCCCTTCCCCTTTGCTACAGCTGTTAAAGCAGCACTAAATTGTGTTAATAGAAATAATGATCAGTGGAAAAAAAACTCCTATAACTTCATATGTTAGGTGAGAGCAGGATGCTGAATATGTGGAGCATTTTCTTCTTTCACCCCCAACCCCATCCAAAAATACAGTCAAATACGTTACCCCAATAGTCCATAGACAGACACAGCCATTTTCATGAGCAGATGCCAGTATTGGTGAGCATGTATGTTCAGCTATGATTCTGGAGAAGCCAGAGGCTGATTTTTTGGTGTCAGAGGGTTGCACATCCTTCTCGTTGGTTGTCCCTTCCCCTTCTGGAATATAATTGACCCCATTATCTTCTTGCCATAGTTCTTACAGTTCTTTCTTTGAACACAAAGCAATGGCACAATGCTAAGAAAAACATTAACTTTGACAAAAGAAAACTTCATTATAAAACAAAGGCCCCTTTGAAAATATTTCATAAATACTAGCAAGGAGCCATTGGGAGAACTTGGAGACACATTGTTTAGGAAGTATTCTCGTGACACTTCCTGTGCCAAACTGCACCATTCCTGCACAGGTGTGAAGAGCCCTTTTCACAGCATGGGGGCAGATTTCAGAGAGGCTGCATAGAGGGCCTGTGCTCCCCTTGTGTGCCTCACAGCAGCGTTCTGCTGCATCTCTAACTGTGGGGGCAGGGAAGGGATATGACCGGGGACCTGCGAAAGTGCAGATTCACTGATCAGAGTCTTCCAGGGAGTAGAAGTGCAGAGTTGTGGCAGTGGCCACTAGCTCAGCCCTGAGGCTGCAGATGTAGCCTAGGGAGTGGTGCTGCTGATATTCTGCAGACTCAGGGAGAGAATTCCATCCTTCTCAAAACTACCAACAATCCCTATGCAAAGCTCGTCTGTCTCCTAAGCACTTGACATTTTGGCCTTCTATATTTCCCCCTTTGTTCTCTATTTCTAAAGATATGTGCGTGAACCAAGAGCTTTATTTTAAGGGTCCATTTGCTTTTACCTCTAGGTCACTAGCTCAAACCTGACCCATGTGGGTACTGAGTGTCACCAGTGGCCTGTGTGAAATAACTCAGTGTCCGTTCTGTTGACAGGGACACCTGACTAGCAGGACCATCAATAGTGACTGTAGCCAAATTCCGGTTTCATCATCAATTCCATTCTATTTGGATGCTGCTGCAATCCCATGCTTGGCCTGCCACTGGGGAACACAATTTGCTGTCCAGATTCAAGGAAAGACTCCTAGCTGTGTCATCTGCATGCTGATGATATTTCCACCCCCCAGTCTCTCATTATCTGCCCCAGCTGCCTTCCATGCACATTGAACACCAGCACTGATGAAACAGATCCCTGCAGAACCCCACACAAGTGGATGAGCAGCTGGGATTCCTATATGCTTTAGTTGATACCTTCAAACATCTCCTTAAAGTCTCTCTGACAACAGGCAGACAGCTTGAAAAATGGGCTTTTCTTCCCCCAGGTTTAAACACCCTATCCTCCCCAACCACCCAAGAAATCTTCTAGTATAAAGAGCAACACATTCCATACCTACTGTTGCTGAAGACTCTCCATTGTTTACATCTTCCTAAAAACAAGATTTATAAAACAGAAATTGAGCCAGAAAATTGAAAGCAGACACACAGTACGGGACCTTCATATGCCCGGAGAAACAGTTCTCTAGATTGTTGTTATTTAAGGAATGAACTAATTCCCTCAGAGGCTTATGTGGAACTTCTCACTTATATTGTCCCAGCTTCCAAGAAGGGTCTACACTAAGTTAATTCCTTTCTGGGATAATGAATGGACAAACACACAGAATATAAATCCATGGGGGGGGGATTTTCCAAAAGCACAGATGAATGGGAATTAGGTGCCTTTGCAGATCTCCTCACTAGATCTTGTCATTGCCTTGAGCAAAAATGGGTAAAATAGCAAAGTTGCAAAGCTTACCCACATGTAGCCCCATTTCAGCAAACAAACGCCTCTTTTTGAAAACTTCAGCCAAATTCTGTCTGCTGCTTCTCTCAAGCACTGCTTTCAACTGTATCTTAACCTCACTCCTAATACAAAGTCCTGTTGGAATTATGTGTGTGGCTTTTCACTCTAAAATCAGTACTTTCACATGTCCTCAACCACATGGTTGGAGGTGTTGGACAAGTGGGTTGCCTCCAATCTTCATTTCGTGTCCATCTATATGGGTCAATCTGTCAACTACAGTAGAACCTCAGAGTTATGAACACCAGAGTTACAAACTGACAGTCAACCACACACCTCATTTGGAACTGGAAATACGCAATTACGCAGCAGCAGAGACAATAAATAAATAAACACAGTACTGTACTGTGTTAAACTACTAAAAAAATAAAATAATGGGAAAGCAACATTTTTCTTCTTCATAGTAAAGTTTCAAAGCTGTATTAAGTCAATGTTCAGTTGTAAACTTTTGAAAGAGCAACCATAACATTTTGTTCAGTTATGAACATTTCAGAGTTACGAACAACAGCCATTTCCGAAGTGTTTGTAATTCTGAGGTTCTACTGTACAGAGATCTGGACTCACTGAAGGGTCTCCAAGGGCTATGGTGGGGTGGGTCCGGTTTTTAGGCAGGATCTGTAGGAGGGAGTGGAAGATTTCAATAAGTCAGGAGGGAGACTAGGAAGCATAGGGTGCTTTAGAGGTTATAGATGAAGACGACAAGCCTCCTCAGTCTAGTAAATATGTACTGGCCTGTGTATCTTCACGTGCTAACTCCTTGGGACACACTTGACAACCACAACCTGTTGCCATTTCTCTATTTTTAGTACCTCAATGGCTTCACTCGAGTGTGTGGATCAAAATTATGCATATGCCAATTTGGGAATTTAAAAACGTATATATGGTGTTGAGAAAAACAGAGCCTGAGAAAAATTATGAGACTGTAGCAAATTTTTTTAAAACTTCTGGGTCCTGATCTGACAATTTCTTCCCTGCTTTCTTCCACATTGCGTCTCTTCCTTCCAGGCTCTGCAGCTCTGGCACTATTCCTCTGGCAGGAAAAGGCAGGACAAAACTACCACAAAATCACCAAGTTAGCTCTAATGAAAATATTCTTATCTATATACTGAAATCTACCTGGTAGATTTCAAAAATATTGCTTCAGCCCTTACAGGGAAGTACTTTAAATATCGCAGAGTTATTCACGGCACCCTTGTTAGTTTTCCTACCATACAGATGTGGCTTCAGTGTTCACATTTCATTCTAGAGAATCCCAATTTTCCCATTTTGTGCCCTGTACCATTCCCCATCAAAGCAGGAAATGCTGGTGATATGCATCCTACAAAACCTTTGATATCAGTCGCTCCACATACCAGCAGCAAGCTGCTGAATGGCGTACACTCCCAAATCCCATCTTCATTTCCATCTTTGTGCTGTGCTTGCCCTCTAGTCTGGAAAGCAAAATGAATCAGACATCTGTGGAGCGTGGGGCCTCTGCATGGCAGAACATTGATCTTCTCAAACCACTGGCTTCTCTGGGTTTTTTTTTAGCTGCTATATAGAAATTTAGCTTGGATGAAGTGGAAACCAAAGCAGCCAACATACCTTGTTTAGACTCAAGTGGCTGCCTTCTGCACCCTGTGTGGCTGTCGTATCACTTACAAGGGATGAAGTGGTGGAGGAGGAGAGACTAAGGAAAACAATCCAGAGATATGGTTGATGACACATAATAAAATATGGGTGACTACTGACATTCTCAGAGATTATGTTAGAGATCTATAGTTAATATTAGCCAGTGCTATTGGGGGGACGGGGGTGGGGGGAAGCAGTGTCTCCACTAGGTAGGCTAAGTTTTCAAAAATTTTAGAAAGTAACCTAAGTATGTAAGTAAAGATGACAAGAGCCTGGGGGGTGGGGTTGTGGGAAGAGAGAGACTGGTGCTGGCTAGGCAAGCAGACTGGGAGCTAAAATAAGGATAAGCTGAGATAAGGAGAGCAGAGGGGTGAAACTAGGATTTGTGGGCAAAGCAATTGGTATAAGATGTCAGGGATGGGGAAAAAAAGACTGGGAGAGGAGAGATTGGAGGGGACAGGGTAAAAGGGGTTACACTTGTGAGGAACAGGCAGATGAATCTGTGCCCACCAGCGCACACTCCACTCCATAGCCTGGAATGGAACCCAAGATTCTGAGTCTCACCATGCCTCTGCTGTCAGCAAATATCTATGAAACCCACTGGCAAAATGTCCCATCCCCCTCCAGTGCGGATCCACACACAGAGGATGACAACCTACTACTGTTATCAGTTACTCCATTAGCTCAAGTGGCAAAGGTCTGTGCTGTGGATCTAAAGGCTCCAACCCTGCATATCACACACACAGGTGTCACAGTGGTGCTCCATGATGGATTTTCTCCTTTTCAGATTTCCCTTTTTAATAACCTAGGAAATCTCTCTCTCACACACACACACACACACACACACACACACACACACTTAAAAGAACATTAAGGTTGCAAAAGAAGCACTCAAAAGTTAAAAAATGAGGTTGCCTGTGCAACCTTAGTTCAGCTCCCCTGGGCTTATGCATTGATACAGCCATTAATTACTTGATCACATGCTATTTTTTCCCCCACAACACTCCTGCTTCATTCAGTGCAATGGGTGGACTTGTCCTAGGAGTGGATCACGGTTGTGTAATGAAGGAGACTGTGGCAGAAGTCAGAAGCTGTGTAGCGAATGAGGCAGGGAACTGCAAGAAAGAGAAAGGAGGGTCTCACAGTTAAGGCAGTTAAATGCTGCCCCAGAGAATTGGATTCTATCCCTGCCTGTGTAATGCTGGGCAAGTCACTTGAATTGAACATTTCACAGGTGGTCACTAATTGTGTGTTCTTAATTTTCTGGATGCCCAATTTGAGACTGTAGGGTCTCATTTGCAGAAGTGCTGAGCACTCAAAGTTGCAGTCAAAATTAATATGGGAGCTGTCCTTTGAACACATAACAATGCTAAGGACTCTGAAAAATCAGATGCTAGTTGTCTCAAATTAAACACCCAAAATTAGTGGATACTTTTGACCTTTTGTATATCAATTATCACCCAGAAAATAGGAATATTAATACCATGTCATTTCACAGAAATGTTATGAAAATAAATGTATGTCTGTGAAACACTCATGAGCCCTACAGAAAAATCCATGAGGAAATTAATATTCTTGTCTTCAGAGCAGGGTTTGATAGTGTGCAATAAATAAGGCCTCGGGCCACACTTTGAACAATGGGGATACAACAAAATAGTGAATCCTTCCATCCGTCCTGTGCACTGAATGAGGCAGGGATCCCATGGAACAAGTGATGTGTGATCATGTAATTAAAGACGATCATAATGCATATGCGCAAAGGTGCCTCCTTAATTCTGGCATTTCCTAGCCTTGGGGTGCTTCACTTTGCAAGCTTAGCAAATGTTCTTTTAATTTACTTTTTGTGTGTGTAATAGTAATAAGCTTCCATTTAATCAGAAACAATAATAGAAAATACAACCTATGCAAAACATGTATGATTCAATGTCATTGCAAGAGCCTCACCTTTCAATAGTCAGAATATTTCCTGACATAAAAAAAATGCAAACTGTGAAACCTAATCACTGCATTTAGTTTAATTTACCTGGGTCTCTTTGAAAAGAAAGAGCCAAATGTTATTGTTTAAGACTGAAAGTCTGATTAACATTTATTAAATGGTTATGGCACATTTAGGTGTAGTAAGTGTGCAAGATGCTTTAAGGATTTAAAATGACACAAGACCACAAATCACTCTACAGATTCAAGGGGGCATAAAGCTGCTTAATTGCTTAAATCCTTAATACTGCATAAGTATTTAATCCAAATTAAGTCCTCAAGGCTGCCAGGTGTCTATGAACGTACATTGGAAAATGCGCGCTTGTGAAAACGCACACATGCTCAGCCCTCCGCTCTAGACATATGGGCTTTGTGACTGAGCATCTGTCCCACATACATGAATTCCAAGTTAATTTTTGAGGAATACTGGCCTGCCACTACTATTGTTTGTTAAAACCTGACTTGAGGTTTGTACAAATAACAATAAAAAACTGTCTCTGCTCCAAAGAGCTTGCAGTCTACAAGACAACTTAAAAGAAGGGAAGAGCCACTGGAAAAAAAAAAAAAAAAATCAGAAGAGGGAGCAATTTGGGGTTTTAAATACATTTGTTATATTAACTTCTTATGGAGCAGAAGTGAGGCTTAGGAGGCTTTTGAATAAGGAGGGTGGGGGGGCTTAGCGAAGTGGTATAGAGAGGGCATGTCACACCTAAAGATCAACATATAAGGAGACACTGATGAAGGAATGGGAAAGCTAAGTGCCCACTTGGGTTTGTAACTGGATTAATCAAATCCAATTAATCCAGCTCAATTCAGCTCTAGGTTATCCTGGGGTAAAAGATTGGTGGGAAAATTATGCCAATTTAACAGAGCAAAATTCATAATGCAGTGCATGCAATTCAGTTACCTGGAAAAGAAAGCACTCCGGAAAAGGAATAGCACAGCATTGACTCCAGATACTTGAGCGATAGCATTTTGACCACCCTGATAAGTTTTATCCCTGGAAATAAAGAGGTTTGTACAGGATTTGTCACACACTTCAACACTTTTTATGTTTATTACAGTGATTGTTAGGTAAAGTTATAGACAAATACATAAACTCCTAAGAATTAAACAATTTTTGTTTCTGGGGCTTATGTTACATGTAAGAAGCCACATATAATGTTGCAAAGTCAGTTTATTGTTCATGAATTTTCTGGCTTGACATCTTTAGAAAAGACAGCACTTTTCTTTTAAACCCACAGAGCAGGCTTAGTGTATGTTGTGCCATTGTAAACATCCCCACCAGGTACTGAACTAAGAGCCTGGAAGCTGATGGAATGGCGCAGTTGGGTGGGAAAAAAATCTTTCAGTCCCCCAAGACTCAGCATTTAAGAAAAATACATTAACTTAACCAGAAAATTGCCATCATCTTGGCATTCAGTCCAGTCATGTGAATCATGGGTACAATGCCCTATTTTCTCCCAACATTTCCCCTTCCTCTCTCTTCCATGTGGCCATACTAACAGCTCTACCCCTGCAAGGGGAGGGAGAAGCAGAGCTGTAGTTAAATTGTTTATTCCCCTTTCATTTCTCCCTCACCCCTTTTGGGGAAAAAAGTGAAGGGAGGAAAAGGTGGAATTTCACTCACAATTTCAAAACCATTTTTTTTTAATATAAAATTTTGTTGAAGTTTTAGTGTTGGCATTTTGTCCAAAGGAGAAACTGATGAAGATGAAAAATATCACCAGAATCCCATTTTTTATTTAGAATGTTTGGCACATTTATTAATGTGCCCAGTTCTAATAGCTTCTTCTAAGCCACAGTGTAGTTTTCAAGGTAAATACTTACAAGCTTATTAAATGAGTTTACTAGAGCTAGACAAAACTGTTCAGTGGCATGTGACAATTCTTAGGGGGAGATCAGATTTGTGCTGCTAGAAAGTTGGGACTGTGAAAGTGAAATGAATTATATTAAAGAAATAGAATGAATTAAAGAATGCTGTATGTACCTTTAAGTACAAATGAGAAATGCTGAAAGCCAGGGGGCAGGAAAGCAGACATTAACTGCTTAATGAATTGCCCCACTTAAGGGCAATTGATGAAGCATTAGCCTTAGATTGATAAGAGTTAATAAGGAAGCAGGATATGCATATTGTGCCCTATGCAAATTTTACAATTTTGCTTTCTCTGTCCCTTTGTTTAGTTCGCACCCTTTTATCTGTATAAATAAGACTGTTTGAATCTTGCATGGGGGCTCACATTATCTGAATGTATTAGCAGAGCACTGTGCTAATAAAACAGAGTGGTCTGACAAACTATGAGTCCTGAGTCTAACTTTGACAGGACCATACAGAGAATGATCACTAGACCATCCTGCCAATCCCTGGTGGGCAAGATATGGGAAGGTGTAGAACAACACTGATTGAGGGAACTCTCAGGGTCTTTGTGTTTCCCCTGCTCCCATAATGTCAGAGTTTCTGGAGGCTTTAGGGGTGATAGTAGTGGTATTTTTAATGACAACTTTTTGGAGCAGTTAATTAGGGAAGAAGGTGTTTTGAAGGGATTTCTCTTTGTCAAATTTGGGCACAAAAATGAGAAATATTTAAAAGACAAACTGTGAGGATCAAGAGGAGCACCACCAAAATACAGTTGGGGTTATAAAATGGTCTTAAAATAACCTACATGGTCAAAGATACAGCCCCAAACAGAGGAACAAAAATCCTTCTCGTACTAGAACCATAGAGCGTAGTGGGTCTTTGTGACCATTTTATAACCCCAGCTGCTCCTCTGTTCCAGAACAAAGTTTGGAAGGAAGAAAGGAAGCCAGCCAGCTCCAGGTTTCTTTGGACCCCATGTACTACACAGGGTTTAAAAAGGTCCTGTAGGTGACGAACTCTTTCATTTTCTTGGGAATGGGTAGTGCTAGGACCTGGTACGTTGTTAGGAAGGTGTGGAGAGCTTTATGGCACAAGTGCTTAAGTGATGAGAGGACCTTGGGGGAACTCCAGAACTGGATGTGGCCATCTCTCGTCCCTGTGGGAATAAACCCACCATGTGGGAAGTAGACGCAGCACAGGCCATTGGTCATAGGTGCAAATGCCACTGGAGTTCTTAGTTCCAAATCCCAGATCCTCAGGAGTCTGTCGTCTGCCACTGTAGCAAGATACAAGCCTTCCGGAGAGAAGCACCACCAAAAGATAGGTGAAGGGAAAACAAATATGGAATCTAAAACAAGCACCATATTAGTAGCTCTGGGAACCAGCATGAAGGTCAGAGAGCAGACCAGCAGCCACTCAGATGAAAGGGAGAAGAGCTCTCCTACTACAGCTAGATATTGGCAAAGTAGTGATGATCAATACTGTAGCAAACCTCTCCAAACCTTCTCTTTTTTCAAAGCCAAACCACTGATGTCTGGAGGAATTCAGTAAAGGATTCTCCTCCAGAAGAAATGAAGGGAGTTCCAGCCATTCCCACCATCTGCCCACTCACGTCCATCCACACTTGGCATCTTCATGCAAAAAGGTGTGGTCTTCCTTTACCATGTCATCTGGAGATGAGGGGGCTTTCTACTGCTCCACTTCGGTCATCTTCAAAGGGCAGCCAGCTGGCTTTGTCCTAGTCCCAGCTCATGAGAAGGTGACTGCCTGGCCTGCTATCTCTTTACTTCTTTGCATGGTGTGATGGTGTATACAAACACCACACCAGTAAGGAAGGGGTTGAGAAGGTGCAAAGCATGCATGGCTTGGAGGAGGAGCTCAAAAGGAGAACAGACCAGGTCAGTAGGAGGGTAAACAGTGGAAGTGAGTTGATGTACATTCTCAGGTCCTGAGAAGCAGCCCTACAGGATGTCCTATCGCCTGAGGCCTCTGGTGGTGGTGACTTCACCAAACCCACAGAGAAGGGGCTCATGGCACTCAGGTCTGAAGCTTTACCTTTGATTTCAGTTGTTTAATGCCTTGTTTGTATGTGCTGGGGAAGAGGGGACTGGTAGGAATGACCCAGGGAAACAGAAGCATTGCACTTCTGGGTGCAGAACTTAGCTATCAGCTGCTGGGCTCTGCATTGGGAACTTGTAGAGAGGGTGGGCTCAGGTTTCCCTAACAGCTCCTAGGCATGGCAGGAAGCAGAAAGCTTACCCCTGATATGGGGACTCTAGATGAGAGAAGCCCTGAAGCCAGAAGGCTCAAGATTACTAGACCTTGATGCAGAGGGGGCATGGAACCCCTTGGCTGACTATAGGGCTCTCCATTGCTGGACTCTTTATATAGCCCAGGTCATCACTGGGCTAGAGCAGCTGTTGGCAGGATATCCCAGGAAAAGAGGAGACTCTACGCCCATGCCCAGCCATAAGGGGGCACCCATGATGAGCAAACTCCCTCACACAGCAGTTGGTGATACCACTACCTCTCCAAAATTCAGGACTAAGGGATCTTCTGGGGGATAGACAGCCAGCCTCCCCACCCTTCTTCAACAGGATAAGGAAATGCTCCAACAAATCATGCTATAGCCACTGCTCCTGGACCTTTTACCATGTAAGATGTCCAGGGCGAGGATGTAGCAGAGTGCACCATATTTTATGGCAATCCCCATCCTTGGGCCAGGAGCAGCAACCCCAGCATGGTCTAATGAATACTTAGGGTCCCACTGCTGAAGAATGGATGGGCAGTTTGCCTATCCACCCACAAAAGCTGCCGCCTCAGCTTGATTTTTTTGGAGGGTGGAAGAGGAATTGTGGCAAAGATAACACAAGCTGAGAGAGAGGTGCTCAGGCCTGTTGGAAGCATCATCTAAGAGCCTGTGCTTGCCCATCTCTCACTTGATGTTGTTAGACCATTTCACATGGTTGTGGGGGCAGTGTCCCAAAGTTTGGATAACCCAAATAATTTTGGATGATTAACTGAACCAAACAAACTCTGAATCCTCCCCCCATCCTACAGAAGACAAAGTAAGGGGCAGAATCACCACTACAACAGCCTTAGAAAATGAACAATAAAAGAGCAGTAATAGGATCTCCCAATGGCAGCAGTAGTATCAGCTCCTTCCAGATGCCCACACAATGCTGAACACTTCCAAAATTGGGATAGCTCTATAACCTCTCACCACTTTAAACAGGCTAGTTACAATGCCAAAGGCTAATGGTAAAGGACTGAATAATTTACTGTGGTAGAATTTCCCTTGCCACCACTGCTCAGTGATGTTAATGCTAATTTCTGATTACATCACTTGCTTAGAAATACCTTCTCCAGTCCACTCCTAAATAATCTAGTCAACTAATCCCACCTGCTGTGGTAGGATTAGTTGAGCAGATTATTTAGGAGTGGACTGGAGGAAATGCTAAGTATGTGTGTTGCTAAATATGTTGCTACTTTAAATCCTTCTCAATCAATCCTTTGATAGTAGGGTAAAAGGTCGTGTTCATCAAAAATGTCACTTCTTGTTAGGGCTGTATGGGTGCACTGTAAATCAAAATGTCTCCACGAAGAGTGTCACAGTTCAGGGCAGCTACACCTGTATTTCCCCCTTAGTGGTTCAGGGGTGGTTCACTGTCAGACTTCCAGGTCCCTTGCTGTTGCCTTTCTTGCATGGGGACCCGCATCTCTCTCCGACCTGACTGTGTATTTCCAGGCTGACCAATTCAATGCCTTCACTATGTTATTCCAGCGGAAGATAGTCTGCCTAAGCGGACCTGTTTCACTTCTCGCCTCAGAGATGGTACACAGCGTAATTGCTACCAGTTTATAAGCTACCAAAGGTCTTTCTAAGCAAGCACATTTTCTTCTTCAGATAAAAGCATGACAAACAAATATATGAAAAACAATAAAAGAATCTACACATATACTGATAAGCTTGACAGAGATTGTAAGAATGTTTTCAGGACCACCAACCAGACACACAGATTACCTTATGAACCTAGCAAAGCAGACAACTACTGTAGCAGACAAAACCACTACTAACTCCAGAGTTCAGATGCAAGGAACAGGTTTATTTCAGCATAGGTAAAAAGTGCCACAACCCAGTGATCAGTTGAGGTATGTCAGGCCAATGATTTGGCTGCATGTACAGACAAGGTGTATATAACCAAGGCAAAGACTTAGTCTCCATACACTCTTTTATACCCAAGATGCTACCATACTTTTATCAACATCCTTCTCCTCTGATTCATTACCTAATAATGAATAAAGTTCTATGACCAAATATAAGATTCCACATTTATAGCCTAAAATAAATAACTTGTTTATTTATTTATTTGCAACAATAAAACTGTCAATTTTAATATTTGGTAGGGATTTTGGGGACTTTCTTTGTTTACCCTGATTATATTTGGTTGTGTCATCATAACCTCTCACTGTTACGTCATCCTTGGAACCTCACATCCATATCAGGTTTTGCAGTCTTCCATAAAAAAGATTATTCAAAGGTCTGAACAAAACTAGCCCTACATTTATATTGACTATGCACTTGCTTATATATATATATATATATATATATATATGGCTAGCTAATATGCAAGTATATATATGATATGATCCATTAAATACACGATTAAATATACTTAGGCCCTTGCCATTTTACAGGAGGTAAATTCACTTAATCATTGTCTCACCTCCTTACAGAGATCACTCCCTCCAACATGGGCTCTGGCAGAAGTTGTCCTTCAAAACCCAACCAGGGATTTCCCTGTGGTTTCAAATTCACCACACTCTGCTCAGAATGAGAACAACCCATGACTTTGTGAGTCATTCACATATCCAGTTTGGTTCTTTGAGGAAACAGTGAATCGGGGCGCTGGAATGGGGTGGGGGGGCAGGGAACCATGGCCCTTCCACTTTTTACCAGCCGGCCTGCAAGGGCGAGCGACAGAGAGGGGGAGGAGGAGGAGGAAAGGATCAAATGGGGGGCGGTGCCTCGGGGGGAAGAGACAGTGCAGGAGCAGGGCCATGGTTAGGGCACCTCTGCCCCCCCCCCCCCACACTTTTAGGGTGCTTCCATGGCTCCTGCTGTGAATAGGTAAATCAGCCAGCTAATAGGTCTCTGCTCAAAGTTCAGCTTCAAAAGGATGCATTCCAGGTTTAACATTTGCATTTCCCTCACCCCAATTTCAAATGCATTATCCATAGAAGTCCTTTGAAGTCCTAATATCTTCCAGAGATTGCACTAATCTTGTTCTTCCTCTAAAGAAGTTCCATACAATACAATAGTACACCTCTACCCCAATATAACGCGACCCGATATAACACAAATTCAGATATAACACGGTAAAGCAGCACTCCGGGGGGGAGGGGCTGCGCACTCCGGTGGATCAAAGCAAGTTCAATATAACACGGTTTCACCTATAACGCGGTAAGATTTTTTGGCTCCCGAGGACAGCGTTATATCAGGGTATAGAATCATAGAATATCAGGGTTGGAAGGGACCTCAGGAGGTCATCTAGTCCAACCCCCTGCTCAAAGCAGGACCAATTCCTAACTAAATCATCCCAGCCAGGGCTTTGTCAAGCTGGGCCTTAAAAACTTCCAAGGAAGGAGACTCCACCACCTCCCTAGGTAACGCATTCCAGTGCTTCACCACCCTCCTAGTGAAATAGTGTTTCCTAATATCCAACCTAGACCTCTCCCACTGCAACTTGAGACCATTGCTCCTTGTTCTGTCATCTGCCACCACTGAGAACAGCCAAGCTCCATCCTCTTTGGAACCCCCCTTCAGATAGTTGAAAGCAGCTATCAAATCCCCCCTCATTCTTCTCTTCTGGAGACTAAACAATCCTAGTTCCCTCAGCCTCTCCTCATAAGTCATGTGCTCCAGACCCCTAATAATTTTTGTTGCCCTCCGCTGGACTCTTTCCAATTTTTCCACATCCTTCTTGTAGTGTGGGGCCCAAAACTGGACACAGTACTCCAGATGAGGCCTCACCAATGTTGAATAAAGGGGAACGATCACGTTCCTCGATCTGCTGGCAATGCCCCTACTTATACAGCCCAAAATGCCGTTAGCCTTCTTGGCAACAAGAGCACACTGTTGACTCATATCCAGCTTCTCGTCCACTGTGACCCCTAGGTCCTTTTCTGCAGAACTGCTACCTAGCCATTCGTTCCCTAGTCTGTAGCAGTGCATGGGATTCTTCCGTCCTAAGTGCAGGACTCTGCACTTGTCCTTGTTGAACCTCATCAGGTTTTTTTTGGACCAATCCTCTAATTTGTCTAGGTGTACATTAACATTTTTATTTTCAACACAATGTACCCCCAAAATACTTAAACTTAATTCAATAAGGTTTAACTTAATTCCATAGGAATTGTCCACAATATTGCCATATCTTTTACCAAAGTATTACTTACAAGTATCTGACAGTGGCAGATTCAAAATCCCACAAGGTTATTGCACCATGTGCATTTCCAGTAGCTATCAAACTGTATCCTTCTACTTTTAACACATCAAAGCACTTAATTTCTTCACCCAGTGGTAAATTCTAAAGGAAGCATAAAGAAGACTTTTACTAAGAAGGACATGACATTTGATAGTGAAATGTTTTTAACATGTGTTATGTACAGAAAATGACATTGTACATTGTTGTAAACTCAATGCATTTTATTAAAGTTATACATTATAACATTTGCCATTCTTATGGTGCCTTCCATCCAAAGACCTCAGCAGACCCAGGCTCTCAACTCTATGCTTTACACACAGGATCATTCTTCTTCCCCTTTGTATTACACTGTTTGCACCATACATTAATACCAGCCCAAACATACTTGAACTGAGACACTGTATCTATTAAGCATTATACTGTGTTAATGGTTTGGTGTAAGTTGTTAACAATGCTTAGTACATTAACACATCACAAACATCCAAATGAAATTAACAGCAAGAGCAACTGCACAGCGCATTGCATTACACAGGAATTGAACTACTGTATCAGAGCCATGGACTATCTAGTCCACTATCCTGTCTCCAACACTGGCCAGCACCAAATAATTCAGAGGAAGGTGAAAAATCAAAGTAGGCAGTTGTGGCATAATCTGCCCTCACAAAAAAATCTCATCCTAACCCCTAATATTTTGAGATTGGTTTAGCCCCTGAAGCAGGAAGTTTTATATTCCTTTCAGTGATCTTTTCTGTTGGCATCAACTATTATAACTCAGAGGATTCTTGTTATTCATAGAGACATCCAATCCCTTTTAGAATCTTGCTAAATTCTTGGCCTCAACAACTTCCTGTGACAATAAATTCCACAGTCTAGCCACACATTGTGTGAAAGAGTATTTCCTTTTTTCAGTCTTGAACTTGCCACCTTTCTGTTTCACTGAGTGTCCTCTTGTTCTTGTGATATTAGAATGGAATATACAGTAGTTAAAGCACCACTCTGGCAGATATTCAGCCATTTGCTCAGGGGATGGAGCCCTAGAGCTGCTGGCATGCATGGCCCCTGTGAGATGGAGAGGGATATCTTCTGTTCCACCAAGCCTGATGGGAGACAGGAGACAAAACAAAATAAAATGAGGAGGAGCCCAGACACATAAGGACATTGCGAAGGGCACAGCAGGACTCCTCTGGAACTGGCCTCAGGTGACTGGCAGCAAGGAGGTGTGGGAACTGGTGATCTTCACCCCTTTCCCCTTTGGCCCATAGTAAGGAAGAGTGGCGCCTAAAGGATTCAGTTGATCCCACTGACGTGGCTCCTCCACACTCTGAACTGAGGTAGAACGAGTAGTGCTCACAGAGAGTCAGGCCTGAACGCGTCTGAGAAGCAGTTGTTCTCACCACGCAGCAGTAGTAGCTACAAGTGACTCACTACATTTTTCTTCACAACCATTGGGGCCAGAAACATATTGGTACTTAAAAAAATTAGTGAAAGCTGATTCTACAGAGGTCAGTAACATTGGTCACAATCACCTGGAAAACTATTTGCCCTAGCGAGAGGGATTTGGCAAGCCTGTGTTAAATGTGCCTCATTTCATGAGAAGTATACAGGTACATGTCACCATGGCCATGTCATTTAGAGTGGGAGGCAGTGTTTGGAGACAGGTGGCTAGATCACAGGGCTAGAAATCAAGAGATCCAGTTTCTAGCCCTAGGTCTGTCACAGACTTGCTGTTTGATCTTGGATGAGTCTCAGTTTCTCCACATCGAAGATAGCCAAAATATGTTAAACTCTTCCTTTCTTTGTTGTTGAGAGGATTCATTCATTAAGATTTATGAAGTCCTTTTCACTGCTACAGAGCTGTCCATCCAAAAATCTCAATTTACTATTTTCAACTTGTACAATAATAATCAGGGGCCTATTGTCATAGCAATGCTTATATATTTAATCACAACAATGATTAATATCAGTGGGTGTCATGCAACTGAATCTCATAGAAATAGTCACCCCCCTGAAATAAAATATTTTTGGATTTCAATGCAGTGGAAAGTTTGGAATATTTGCCTCTCATACTGCATCTAAATCTCTTACTCACTTGCTTATCTTAGGTAAACAATGCAAAAATTTAAGAAGTGTTCTCACCTGGGTTTCGTTATTTCTCTTAGGACCTGTGTCAGACAACAGCTGAACATCTGGAAAAAATCCATTTGTTTTCCTGGCATTGGGTTTCAGCCATAGAGACATAACTGGATTCTCTTGCAGAATAAGTGACACAGCCTCAGGGAGCTCCCATGTAACAGTCAGATGAGGTTCACCTTCATTACCCTAGTAAAACGATCCATTTAACCAAAAGACAAAAATTAATAACTGACGTTATCTGATTAAAATATGACCATGCAAACCATTGTTGCTACCACTGTTGTATCATTGCAATGGATCTTATACAAAGTATGACACATGGCCAGAAAGGGTTAAGCAGCTTGCATGCTAAATGACCCAGAGCCAAACTTTAAAGTCATGTTAGGAAAGTATGCAAATTGTAATTAGGGCCACTCCCTGCTAGATAGGCTAAAACTTTGAAGTGAAAACCTGTATTGTTAGAGAATTAGAGGTGATACTAATTGTGTGTTTATTTATATCTTGTTTAATAATTAGCCATGTAAACAGACAGTTCCTCTCTGTCACTATAGCTATTGACTCAGAGATCAAAAGGGAATATTAACATTTAGATGAATCTTGAATGCAATAATGTCATTGTCTATCTGTCTCTTTAAAGTTTGTGATAGACAGCCTAATGGATAAATTATCTTATGTTAATCCATGTAGTTAATTACCAGTGAGTTTTGGGAAACAGAAGGTTACATCAAAAGCCTATTGTTCACCCAGGACTGTATGGTCAAGTGGCTGTTAGAAAACTGTATAAAAGACCCTTGGGTCCCAATCCTTTTTATCTCAGATCTGCTTGAGGCTTCATGCAGGTTAAGGCTAAGCCGTAAGGACTGAGATCCCAGTCCTGACTGGACCACCCTGAATATAAACATTGGACTATAACCTATGAAATATTTCTGAAAAAACTCTTTGCAACTACAAAGCTCACCATCTCTGCTATGAATCTGAATCTCAAGATTGTACTCATATCTGTATGTATACTGATCTTTTAACCAATATTCCCTCTCTTTTCTTTTTTAAATAAATGTTAGTTTAGTTAATAAGAATTGGCTGTATTTGGGTAGATCTGGAATATTCATTAACCTGGGAGGTAATGTGTCCGATCCTTTGGGATTGATAGAACTTTTTTATATGATGAATAAGATTTTCAGTAACCCTCGTCATATTTGACTTGGGTGTCTGGGTGGAGGCCTGAGGCTGGGTTACTTTAAGGGAACTGTGTTGTGGGCTTCTGGGTAACCAGTGAGGTATTATAGAAGCTGTTTTGTGCTGGCTTGGTAAATCTAAGTATTGGAATATCCACCAGCTTTGGGAATTGTATGGCCCATTCTTTGCAGTTCACCCTAATTGAGTGACCTCAGTTGGCTCCCCTGGGACCCCGGTCACAACATATTATCAATTCACATATGTACCCCACTGGTCAAAGTGCATTACAGGTCCCCCTCATTGCTGATTCACAGACTATATGAATCTTGTACACTCCATGCTACAACCTCTTGGCTCTTTAGCTCAAGATGTAGCAGCTCATACATTTAGTTTTAGAGGTCCCAAGTTCAATCTCTGGTATGATAGCAAAGATAGCGGACATCCCACTTGCATGAAAACAACAAGCATTTTGGTTCAACCTAAGGAAATGTAGAATTAAGGCTGAAACTGAGTCCTTGATCCTTGCCCATTGTGTCTAGTTGCTAATGGGGGTTCTCTTAACAGGTTCTCCGCATATAAAACAAACTCCAATACTTAGCTTCCTGCCTTAACTTCAATGTCCCTACTTTTTGGCTTTAGGACAGACTCAAAGTTATTTAAAAAGTAGCTAGGATTTAATACTCTTTTCATAGAGGCATTACATGCTAAAATTAATCAATGCGGAAGAGGGGTGTTTTTTTAAACCATTTCAATATATTGAACAAGAACAATTTGGAAAAAAAATACCGTAAAATGTGTAAATCTACTAGGCAGCATTATTTAGGACCTTTCAGATTTAAATTTGTTCACAGTAATGTTTGGGAGGAATGGCTCATGTGGCTACATTTAACTAAGCTGTTAGTAAATTAAATTTAGAGTTTTTTTAATTAACCATAAATAGCAAATTCAATGAACTGATTATTTCAAGTTTTATAGTACGTTAATTTGTAAAGCAGCTCCATACACTGGCTATTCTCTTCCAGAGCAACATTCAGAGAGATAAAGAAGGCTGCATAAATGCTTATTTTCATGCTCATAACCACAATGTATAACTTTTTGTTACAGAAATTTCATCTAGAAGCAGTCAGAAAACTGCTCTTTTGTCCATGACCTTGCTATGCCTAAGAGTTTATGTTCGGTATGCAATCCTATGGTTGTGTGTATTGGGATGATGATTATGTAACTTGATTGTATGAGTGCATTGTGACAGAGTGGGCTATGTCTGTGTCAAATTATGAACACACACACAGAGAGAGAGAGAGAGAGAGAGAGAAGTTGGGTGAGGTAATGTCTTTTATTGGACCAACGTCTGTCTCACCAACTACCTAGCGTGTAGTACTCTCTCCTGTGTAGGGGCTTGGGCAAAGGGTATCACTATAAATAGAAATATGCAAGAACAAAAGTAGCCTCAAATTTGCTTCTAGCTATTTTCTTGTTAGTCTGTAAGCTATTTAAGCTGATTGCTAATGGGGCCAGAGAGCTGCACTGCAGCAACTCAAGAGGAAGCAAGGAACCATAGAGTGAGAGGCTCTTTTTCATATCCCTTTGAAACCCTCCTATGCAGGATTCAGATCATGCTGTTCCCTCACATCATGTCATCAAGGGGGAGTGCATGGGCCTCTGATTTTCACTTCTGAAGGAGAGGGGAAGAGAAAGAGTTCTTTAGTCTTGGGACCTGATCCTACTAGCACTTGCATGTGTGAATAACTTTACTCCCTGGCGTATTCCCATTTACTTCAATGAGTAAAGTTATGCACATCCGGCAAATTAAGGGCAGGCTCTGGCTCTTATTCGGTGAGCAAAATGACTGAGGGATAGGAAATTTAACTTTCCACCAAAGCCTAACTGCTATGAGAAAAATATTAATAGTTCCAGTGTAGTGTGTTCATGGAAAGAGGTGAGCAGAATGCTGAACATCTAGCCATAGAACACACTGACATTTTAAATATTAAAGAGTTACTTTGGTGACATGCTGAAAAATGACTTTACATTGACAGTTGCATAGGGTTTGCCTACTGATCTATGAAAGTTGTCTGTTTGAACTTCAGAATTAGCAGCTACAGAATGAAATAAATCACACGTAAGATATCAAAAACCTGAATGATTTTGATCTCCCCACTGTGCTCCAAAGCCAGGATCACATGCCGACTCTCACTAGCCTTCAGATAAACTAGCTGCAGCAGCCATTGCTCATCATCTTTGCTGTCATTTGCTACAGGCAAAGCTTTAATTTCCTGCCCACTTCCAAAATCCCAGATTTTCAATGTTCCTGAACAAGAAGTGAGGACAAGAAACACAAGGAGAAAAACTGTTAAACACAAAACATGTATTTTCAACTCAGAAACCTGACAAGTCCCAAATAGCAAAAAGAAAGAAAAATCAGCTGCATCGCATTTCCCATTTCTACAGGTCTGATGTTTGGTATTTTAATACTGCTTCACAGAAGCATGTGGTTGGGACACATGGTATTTGTGAATTAGTCTATCTGCCATGGGGGGTTGGCAGGAAGGGTGTATGTAGGGATCCCTTACAAATATTCAATCACCCAATTGCAGGGAATATTGGTGTGATTTCCCTGCCTCAGATGGACCCTCTCCCTTTCTAGATACTGCTAAAATCTTCTCTGCTAAAGATAACTTATCTTGGGGCTCAAAAATCCCTTCCTTCAATTTCTCACATGTGTTGGCTGAGTCATTTAAAAGTCAAATGTGAGCTCTTTAAGGAAGGGACTTTATTTACTTCTGTTTGTACAATGGGCCCTTGACGGGCACTACGGCCTTTGTAAAAGCATCAACCACCAGATATTTTTCAGAAATGTCCCCGGGGCAGCACAACAGTCTGCCTACAGTGTCAGTCACACTTCAAATAATGTAAATTCAACCCTGTGCTTTTCGAGCAATAAACTTAATTGATTTCAGGAAAACAAACATTTCCAGTGACGCACACTTAGGGCCTGATCCAAAACCTATTGATGTCAGTGAGGGCGTTAAGTTTGATTGCCAAGCAATGTTGCCTCCTTCCTTGACTGTCGGCATACAAAAGCATTTTTGCCTAAATGGGAGAACAATGGAGTAGATTCTCTAGTCCCTCACCTCTCCTCTCAGTGAGCACAGTTATATGGGGTTATCAGACATTGCCATTGCCAATAGATCACCATTCTGTCCTTCTCCATGCCTGTTTTGTACTTCCTGCTTCTGTGCCAAGCCCACCAAAGGGCAGAAAGGGAGCCAGCAAGGCAGAGATCTTCCTATCTGAGAGAGCGGCAAGGTTGAGTGTGACGTGGCTCGCTACCAGACCTTCTCTCAAAATGAGGGGGTGGAAAAGAGAGGCTGAAGCACTCTCTGAAGGAGTATCTACCAACTGGGATCCACCCTTGTCGTGTGGCGCTACTGACCTAACAACAGCTTTCCCTTTCTGAGTAGCCCCTAAGCTCTGTGGGCAAAGTATCTCGGCTAAATGATGCAAATAAAGGGCAGTATGCTCAAGTGGAATTAATCTGGCCTCAATGCTTTGTGGCAGAGGCCATGTCTTCTTCATGAGGCACCCTGTATATTTCTGGAGTATCCCAATATTTACATGGTGCTGCATTTCTTAACATTTCAATAAACCCTGAAATTTCAGAATTATGCAGCTATGCTAATTGATTAATCAATTATTAAAGTTTACTGAAGAATTCAGTGCAGGTCTGGTAAATAAACGGAGAGGCCTTGTCATACAATCTCAAACAAACATGCCATACATTACATGACGTGTTGAATATTGGAAAATACACTAACTATGTATCGTGTTCAGAGTCAGCAAATCCTATAAAACTGAGTTCTCCCTTTTCAATTTAACTACTTTACTCCAGTTGCTCAGTTTTCTCATTAAAATGCCTTCTGGGCTAAAGATATTCATGCTTAGCCCACAATAATTCAATTTTTTGTGAAAGTTTGAGCAAAATTGGTTTTGCTATTTTTGAATTATACAAGATGGAAAAAATGCACTTAGCCCACATGTTCCTATCATAAGCTTTGTTCTTGCGTATCAATAACACTTAAGATAGAAACTCAAACCTTGGCTTGTTTTAGAGCTTTCTTTGAGGAGTGAAATGCACATCCCGCTTGAAGCAGGGCGGTTCAGTATTTTTGAAGTGGTGAACATTTAAATTTGGAGTGTGCACACATGCTGCCATGCATAGGTGCTGGAACTAGAGGTGCGGGAGGTGCTGCAGCACCCCCTGGCTTGAAGTGGTTTCCATCATATATAGGGTTTACAGTTTGGTTCAATGGCTCTCAGCACCCCCTCTATACAAATTGTTCCAGCGCCAGTGCTGCCATGTTTTAATGCAGCCTTCTTGAATCACAGGGTTGAGAATGTTAAGGCAGCTGAGTGAAAGATGGCCTGTTGAGCTAATTTAGTCCTCCTGAGTAAAGGGCACCTCAGTTTCATCCCTTCTCCCCTTTCTTACAATAAGACCAGCAAGGGAAATTGAAAGCAAAAACCTGTCATCAAAACAATGTTAACATTGAGAATTCAAGCACACAAGAGTCAGGAAATTCCAAGAAGATATCAAGGTTTCTAACACCGCAGTAACTGCCACACTGCATGTAGGATGGATTTTCTTCAGGTGTCTGTTTCAATGTAATCCTTATTCTAATACTGTTCATTCTAGGTAACGTAGACCAGGGCTGACTGGTTCCAGACTGCTACAGGCTTTATGCAGCAAGGCATGACACTCTTAGGTATTCACAGGGTGCTTATTCCAGACCCCCCAGAGAAGTATCACATCATGGAACAGCAATCCCTGGAGTCCAGTGCAGACTACTACAGTCTCTCATCCTTCATGCCATTCAGGTCTAACTCCTAAGCCCTGAGGGAAAGATCTTCTTGGACTAGAAGCCAGGCAGACCGAGCCAAAGGCCATTTCCCATAAAGCCTAACATTCAAAGGCCTGATTCCCAAATTAGATCCAGCTGTAATTCTCCTTTCAGGCTTGACAGCTTTCATACTCCTTTCAGGCCAGGCAGGTATTTTTCTTGTCCTGCAAGGACGCTTACTAACCTCTCCCCTCTCTGACTGGAGGTGGGGTATATACCTTCTGGTGCACAAGAGGCACGTCCACACTTTGAGCTGAAGATGTAAATTCCAGTTTGAGGAGACATACCTGGACTAGCTCGGGTCGAGCTAGCATGCTAAAAATAGATCGGCACTGCAGCAGTACCAATGGCAGGAGAGGCTAGCTGCCTCAAGTACCACCCTGTCCAATACACTATGCATGTACTTGGGGAAGATAGCCTGTTCCACTTCTTGTGCCGCTATGGCTACACTCAATTTTTAATACACTAGCTCAATCACAGCTAGCCCAGGTATGTGTATGCGAGCTCCAGAGGTAGGATGTACTACACAGTTAAGTCAAATTGCATGGGGAAGCTTAGTTTGTGGTATTTCTTTAAAGTTATGCCATGTCTCATTTTTATTGCTATTCATTGAGGGGTGGTTGGGGTCAGGGCCATACAAAACAGCACCAGTCCAGTTTTGCAGAAGCTTTTTGAAATTGAACCCCAATCCAACATGGTTTCAGGTAGGTTCCAAGCAAACTGTTCTCACAGCCCTGGTCACAATATAGTATCTCATTCTAAAGAGAGATAACAGAATAGTATCAAGTATCAGAGGGGTAGCCGTGTTAGTCTGAATCTGTAAAAAGTAACAGAGGGTCCTGTGGCACCTTTAAGACTAACAGAAGTATTGGGAGCATAAGCTTTCGTGGGTAAGAACCTCACTTCTTCAGATGCAAGACTAACTAACAGAATAGTAGTGATAATTAAATTGTTTACCATCACAGGCTCCTGTAGCAAGGTGAAACCCATTTTTATCAATTGCTGCGCAGGTCACTTCAATATTAGGCCCATGGGCATCTTCAATCTGGTAGATTTGGTGCCCGGATTCTAGCTCCCAGACCTAGAAACAAAGTTAAAATTATTTGCAGTCCATCCTACAAAAATCCCCACACCATGTGTTATAAGTTGGCTGCCAAAAGATTAACATGCTGAATAGATGACTCTCATATATCCCATAAAAATATGCTTTCCTGATAGTATAGCAGACTTGACAGCACAATATTCACAGTTACTCTCTATAACTCCAAAAATCTTTGGCACCCTAAGGAAGGCATTCTAGCAAGGATAGCCTATTTTCACTAGTCACATGAAATAGATTCTTTTTAAGTTAGAGATAAAAATGGTTAACTATAATGAGTTTTTACTATACAGAAAACAAGGAAAGCTAGCTACAAACAGGGCCAGCCCTAGACCAAATGGTGCCCCATGCAAGGATCATCTTTGGTGCCCCCCTCCATTTGTTAAACTTTTGAATACCTTACTTTGTAGTCCATTTCATGACTTTGATGCACGATTTGCATGCATGATTTATCTCAGTCAGACAAGACTATAAACTTGCACATTAGGATCCTTAAATCTGTATTTATTCATGCCATATGTAAGCAAATAAAAAATTTGTTTCCTCTACGCTTATAGAAACTTTTATATTCTTGCGTAGATAGGGGTTCAATAGATATCTCTGGCATCTCATTAAATATGTCCTTTATTAGTCTCTACTTACACTCTTCAAGTCTTAAAACACAAGTACACGTTCGCAATTACACAATAAAACAAGGTTCACAATATCGCAGCTGGGCTGTCACTTTAGTTCGTTCTTATATCTGACTGACTGACTGGCAACACACCACCTCTTATATATCCACAAGGGCATGGCTGACAACATTCTAAGAGGTTTGAGGAAAATGTAGTCTCAGAAAGTCTGGAATTTTCCACAGAAATTTTAGGAACTTAGCGAAAAATGAATCCACATACAAAATACCTGAAACATTTTCCTTCAAACATTCTATTTTCCTTTTTGTCACTAACAACAAAAACAGCACCCTGAGCAGAGCCCGGCGCTCTCCAAGCTCGGCACCCCAGATGGTCACTTGCATCGCCTGACCCTAAATCCAGCCCTGGCTACAAAGAAGGGATGAATCAATTATGTTGGATACTTCAACATGTGTCTTTTAAGGATTTGATCCTCAAGTTAAGCAATAATGCTATATGATATTATATAAGCCTTTCAGGGCAGGGACTCTCCCTTACTATGTGTTTGTACAGCAACTAGCATGAGGTCCCAATCCTGAGCAAGGCCTCTGGATGTGACTGTGATGCAAATAGCCTCATTTCTCAGAGTATAACTAGCCTTTCAAAAGTGGCCACTAAATTTGGGTGCCCCAGTTGGACCCAATTTTCAGTAATGTTGAACATCCATACCTAGACCTGGGTTAACAATTGATTTTTCGCTTTGGCCAGCAAACAAAAAAAATTAGAAAAAATATTTGCTTTGATTCTGAAAATGTTCAGAGTTTGTCAGAATTCAAGTCCCTTCCCCAATGAATATTTAAGTATTTATACAAAGTGGAATAGCTTAAATAGGAGAGGTTGAGACTAACCTACCCTAGATTAGCCTAGAGCCTGATGGTTGAGCTACTCAACTTGGAGATCTGAGATCAAGTCCTGAAGCAGAGTGGGGATTCAAACCTGGGGTCTTCCACACTCAGAAAAGTGTCCTAACCATTGGGTAGATAGAGATGGAAACTGGCAGCAGGGGGAACTGATCATGTTGGTAATAAACTGCATCTCTGGCACTGGGGAAGGGCATGTTGGGGTTCACTCCGGGGAAAGTGTCTCCATATTCAAGAAATAAGCCAGCTCCTAGATACTCAGCCCTTGAGAATTAGCCAGTTTCCTAAAGACTTTAAGACACTGACATAGCATCAGAAGTGTGCAAGGTGCTTTACAAAGTATGACGACAAGTGGTAAAATGTTCAAAAGTGCTTAAGAACCAGATTTTAAAACGGTATTTAGGTGCCTAAGTTCCACTGAAATCAATAGGAGCTTCGTATCTAGGTGCTTTTGAAAATTCCACTAGCTGCCTATCTGCATTTTTAGGCAGATAAATACCTTCTAATGTATGGCCCTAAGTTACATAGGAACCTAAGCCTCATTGAAAGTCAATAGGACATAGGATTCTAAGTGCCTAAATCACTTTTGAAAATGGCACTGAGGCTCAGGTGCTTTTAAACATTTTACCCAGGGACCCTGCCCAAAAGCTCACATTCAAAACAGGCAACTCAGATTGAGGAAGGGGGATGAATTAAAAAAAAAAAAAGAGAGAGAGACCCAGCTTTTTATGTTTGTCTAGTTTGTTAACACTTTTTCTAAGGGAAGGACTAGATAAAGTCTATAGGCTCTACAATACTGGTCCAATTAAAAAAATTAAAATTAGTTGTTGTAATTGGACCAACTTCTGTTGGTGAAAGAGACAAGCTTTTGAGCTCCACAGAGCTTGTCTCTTTCACCAACAGAAGTCGGTCCAATAAAAGATATTACCTCACCCACCTTGTGTCTCTCATATCTTGGGACCAATGTGGCTACACCACCGTTGCATACAACAAGTGATCTGAAAGAGGAGAGGGTGTGGGTATGGCAGACAAAGCCAGCAAGCTGGATCCAGGTCTATCAGCCACATGGAAGAAGGTTCAGAGAAGAGAGTAGGGAAAGGGTAATAGGAAGGTGGCAGTTAAGTCTTGTAGCTTGGTGTAACAGGGCAGCTGCCTCCGGAGCGCCGGCTTGTGGACAGAGGTCACTCTGCAGCACCCTGCCCTGTTTCCTCCAACTCCTCAGGGCCCTCAGGAACTGCACTCTGATAGTCCAAAGCTAAATTTAAAACATTCCCCTCCTGGGGTCCAATTTATTTAGCCCTTTGACAGTTTGGCCCATAAGACCCCAACACTACAATTCAATGTCTTTCTCCCCTTACATAGGGAATCCCCTGCCCTTGTTCTCAGAAGCGGATTCCAGTTCAATCACCACTCCTAGGCTTTACCCAGGTAGAGCTCAACTTTCAGGGTCTGCCTTCCAAATTCCCCTGGTGTCAAGGTCTTCTTCCTGCTTTAGTCATCCTAGCTGGGGCAGCTCCACTTATGTCAGGGTCTTCCCTGCAGGAGCCTTTCCTCAATTTCTACCACAGCTTCCTGAGCTCCCACTTTTACTGCAGCCTCCCACTGCTCTTTACTGGGCAATGGCAATCACCTGACTTCTCTCAGGGGTGGCTCCTTAGTAAGCAGGGTTGGCTGGCCCCAGGCCTTCCATCCTTTAGGGCAAGTCAGCCTGTTACCCTTGGATAGAGCAAACGGGAAGAATGCTTAACCTTTGATATGGAATCTTCTTCTAGTGTTGTAGTTTTCCCAGATTCTACATAGTTTCCAAAGTAATTTTTCATGGTTTAAATCCCAATTCAGAAAGCCCTTGAGCTGCAATAGGCCATGAGCACATGCTTACCTTTAAACAGATGCATAAGTGGTGTCCTGAATAGGGATGTGCTCCTGAATCGAGGACTATGTACACATGCTTAAATTGCTCATCCAGAGCATTCTTATATCAATCACAGCTATTAAATAGCTTTTTGTAGCCACATAATAACCAATGATCACTGTTTCATAAATTTATATACAAAGCTCCATTCCTGTAGATGTAGTGTGGAACAAAACTCAAGTGAAGAAAAGGGAGTTCCACATCAAGACCAGACCCTCCTCCTCCCCACCCATCCTTCTGGTGCCTAATGTGAAAGAGGAGACTAATTACATTGATTCTGCAGTTCAGCTGAAAGGGTCACCTGATAGAAATAATGCTGCTTTGATGTTAAATGGTTTATTTATCATGGATTACCACTTCCCTAGAGAGTTACAGGATAAAAATAGCTACAAAGATGATGGCTTGCATAACAAACACAATTAACTCTTGCCTAATTGCTCAACAATTTATCTGTGATAAAAGCAACTGCAACATTCTTTTTCTCTCCCGGTTTAAAGGGTGCAAGTTTATGCTCACCTTCACAATAGATTCAGCACAGATAGTGAGAACTTGGTGAAAAGCCCTGTTGTAAGCCAGTACGTTGATGTTTCTTTCATGCGTTTGTGGAACCTGTTTGGTGTCTTGTATCATCCGGGTTAGAGGATAAATATCAATGACTGATGACCCTGTACATGGCAAGAGAGGTACTAATACATAACATTTATGTGACTGTGCAAACTGCCATTCGAGGAAATGGATCAACTCTATATAAACCATTGTGTTTGATTTGAATTCAGCAAGAGAATATAAAGAGACACTTCTGGCCAGTTCTAGAGAATTTCTGCTGTCCGAAGAAAAGTAGAAAATAGTCACCTCTCCCAAGCACAATAAACAATCACTAAATAAGAATATTTATCATATTTTGCTGCCTTAGACAATCAACTATCCAATTTTTATGGGAGAGGCAACCCTAGCCCCAAGATCCATAGGAACTAGGGGATTTACAGTTCCAGAGTGGGCCAGTGTAGGAAGGAACAAATAAACGTCATCCTGACTGATAGCAATTTCACTGAGTAAAGCAATCCCAGAAGTCACTTCCTATAGAACAAAGCAAATCCATCTGTAAGCTACGCTGTCTTTTCAATACCTTGGTTTATGCCGCACTGTCAGTGCGCATGGCACTTTGCAGACAAATAAAACCTACATCTCCTTGATCAGAACATTTACAGACAAAATGAACCATGACCTAGGGAAATGAGAGAAGGTTGAATAATGGTCAAAGTTTTCAACTGCATAAGCTCACACGCCTATTTGTGCAGTGTTCACATCTAAGTTCCCATTTTATTTATTGCAACATAATTGAGCTGGTACAGGACTTAGGTTCAGCAGTGGATGTGTAGGAGGAGAAGGTGTCTGCAAGGCACAGGGTATGATTCCAGACATATGGGGCAATATTAGAGAAGGCACCACTGTGCTTCTGTCAAAATATGCAAATGGAGCATGATAGAGAGCAGGACTCATCCATAAACATCTGTATCTATAACGATGTATGGACATCAGAGGATTAAAATCTGAAGCCTTCTATGTAAATACATATCAGGTAGATGACAGTAAGGATTAGTTCTCCTAGGCATAACTTGGATCTCTTTCCCTCTCCGGCAGTGAGGAGGAATTCATTTTACCTTTTAACAGAATCACTAGCAGGGCCTAGTGTTTAGTCATAATCATCCTTTTATGGATTGTAGAACAGTTTGGGGAGTCTGAGTTGAGACAATTAATCTCACAGCTGAGGAAATATCCAACTATGTATCTGCTAATCCTATAGGATTTAAAACTTTAAATGACCCTTTTCACATAGAACTGTTTCACTGGCCTTTAGAATAAGATGACACAAACTTTGAGAGACTCAATCAAATGCTTGCCTGACCTTTCTGTTTAGTCTGACTAACATCTTTTACAGGAACTTAGGGTTCTTCTGCTGAATCACCCTAGGCACGTGTGGTAAGCCCCCTTCAAGAAGGCTCAAGTAATTGACAAATCAGGCTGGTAGGTGGGTCCAGTTATCTCAAATGTTGAGATACAAGTGGTGGTATCCTCCCTTTGGAGGGAAACCCTACAAATAGCCAAACCTAGGAGGAAGCTCAGCTGCACTTTATGTTACTGAGTCATTGTTTGATTTACTAGCTAAGCCAAACTGCAGGAAGAGTCTGTGCACTCTAAATGGGGTCAGCCCTTTCACAACAGGTGTTTAATTTGGCAACATGGTCTTGTGGTTAAAACTCCGGGTTTGGAGTCAGTAGTTTGAGGTTCTATTCCCTAATACTGCCACCAATTAACCATGCAACCTTGTGCAAGTGACAAGTACTTTAGGATCCAAATATATGTAAAATATGTGAATCAATAGACTACATGGACATTTAATAGTTGTCTACATCTCAAATTCTGCACAGGTTTAAGATGAAAACTAAGTCTTCTCTTCCCATCCCCTACACCCCATATGAACAATACTCCTTATGGCAGAAGTTTAAAGAAAAAAACAACACATGTAACACTGGGCTGCAGCAAACTGGGGTTCTTCCCTGGGGCCAATATGTCTACTTTCACCTCAGCCACAGCATTCAAACTATTGCTAATGCGGAGACTTGAGTAGCAACCGTAGATCAGGCCTGATAACACTCCACAGCCTGGGAAAGGGAGGAATCCTCACATACCTGCACCAGTGCAGATGCCCTGTGCCCAACTCAGCTACATGGGGTGCATGCTGGGAGGAAGACACTGGGCCAAATGCCACTCATCTATGATTTATACCATGTCACTCCCAGTGATTTCATTGGAATTATTGTAGATTTATACTCATAACAGAACTGAATTTGGGGCTCTTTATTAAAGTCCAAATTTTGTTATCACTCAACTGAAGCCTTTTAACAAAGGGACATAACTATTTATTTTCTTCCATATACAAAACTGAAAATAGATCTCCATTACAGTGATCAATAGTGGATTAAGAATATTGTTGTTCGGGTGCAAAATGGGAGGCAAGCATTCTGTCGGGTTCTTAGCTAACATGTTCAGAAGATATAAGCAGTGAATTTCCAGCTCTGCAGAAGCACTAAGATTACTGTCAGAGTCTCCACTGTCCTCTGTCACTTCAAAGTTGCAGAAATATGAAATACGTTTCTTCTCTCCAAGAGACAGTGGAGTGTTGGCTCCATGGTCACTGTTCTGTTTCTAATACAATTTTCTTTAAAAAAACAAAACAAAAAAACAACCAAAACGTTCAGATCTATAGAGTTAGTGAGAAACTCTGTCACCACCAAGGCTTTGTCTTTTCTAAGAAAAAAAAAAAAAAGGGGGTATGTTCTTACCTCATGTTAACTAAGGCAAGGTAAAATCTTAGTGAAGACATGGCAGTTTGTAGTGTTTACATGTTAGCAGCTTGAGGTAAAGATTATACAGGAATCTAGGGTTTACTCCAACCTGCTAAAGTGTTAAAACTACAAATTGACATGTCCTCACTAGGATTTTACCTTGTCTTAGTTACCACGTTAGCAGACACGAGATAAGAACATGGCTTTTTCCAGTGAGGATGAGATACAGAGAACCAAGTATTTAAATAAGAACATAAGAATGGCCATAGTGGGTCAGACCAATGGTCCATCTAGCCCAGTATTCTATCTTCTGACAGTGGGCAATGCCAGATGCTTCAAAGGGAATGGATAGACCAGGGCAATCAAGTGATCCATCCCCTGTCATCTAGTCCCAGCATTTGGCAGTCACAGGCTAAAGACACCCAGAGCATGGGGTTGCATCCCTGACTATCTTGGCTAATAGCCATTGATGGACCTATCCTCCATGAAATTATCTAGTTCTTTTTTTAATCCAGTTATAGTTTTGGCCTTCACAACATCCCTTGGCATCAAGTTCCACTGATTGACTGTGCATTTTGTGAAGAAATACTTTTGTTTTAAACCTGCTGCCTATTAATTTCATTGGGTGACCCAGGTTCTTGTTTTATGAGAAGGGGTAAATAATACTTCCCTATTCACTTTCTCCACACCAATCATGATTTTATAGACCTCTGTCATATCCTCCCCCTTAGTCGTCTCTCTTCTAATCGAAACACTGCCACTCTTTTTAATCTCTCCTCATATGGAAGTTGTTCCATACCCTTAATCATTTTTGTTGCCCTTCTCCATTTCTAACATCTTTTTTGAGATAGGGCCATCAGAATTGCACACAATATTCAAGGTATGGATGTAGCCTAGATTTATATAGTGGTATTATGATATTTACCATCTTATTATCTATCCTTTACCTAACAGTTCCTAATATTGTTAGCATTTTTGACTACTGCTGCACATTGAGTGGATGTTTTCAGAGAACTATCTACAATGAATCGAAGATGTCTTTCTTGAGTTGCAACTGCTAATTCAGACCCAATCATTTTGTAAGCATAACTGGGATTATGTTTTCCAATGTGCATTACTTTGCATTTATGAACACTGAATTTCATCTGCCATTTTGTTGCCCAGTCACCTAGATTTGTGAGATCCCTTTGTAACTCTTCGCAGTCTGCTTAGGATTTAACTATCTTGAGTAATTTTTGTATCATCTGCAAACTTGGCCACCTCACTGTTTATCCCATTTTCCAGATAATTTATGAATATGTTGAAATGGGCAGCCTTCCATTCCTCCTTGCTTCTAAGATAAGTTGTTCACATCCTTCCCCCAGCAAAAGCAGGGAGCTTCCCTGGAAGGTGGGAAGAGAACCTGCCACATCACAAACAGTGTGTTCGAACTGCCAGGCCAGGAGGGAGGGGCTGGCAGCTGGACCACATTATGTCAGCCAGGAGCCTTTAAAAGGAAGAGTGTAGGCCATGGGAGACGCTCTTGTTCTCATGCAAGAACACACTTTTCCTGGTGCCCAGACTGACAGGATCCTGCCTATAGAGCTCTTAACCCAGCAGCCTGGAGGGCAAGACACTCTAAACTCGAGTGTCTTGGGAACTGACTGTGGTTGTAACATTCTCTGAAGAACAGTGACATGCGGAGAGATCCCTTTCAAGGGATTTAAACAAACAGATGACAGGGCTGAAAGAGGGTGCAACTGGTTTCATTTTCCTGAAGAGGGGCTCAGCTTTCAAAAATTTGGGAAACTTGGCTTGAGAGAGATCATCTTCTGTGACTGTCACCTTAAGCCTCTCATACATATTCCAAATTAAAAGGAACACCATATTTTATATATAAAATGAAACTCCTTCACCATGTCAAATGGAGGGATGCCAAATAGCCTTCATCTGTAAATGCCTCATTAGCCAAGTGTGGAAAATTGCTGTCATGTCCTAGATTTCTGCATATCCCCTGTATCTAACTTTCTCCACTACCAGGCCATGCTGTCGTCACCTTCTGCAGGCATGTTTCATAATATGGAATATCAAAAATTAAAATGAGGGGGAATGTGTTCCTCATTCACTAATTATGTCTACACACCTGTAATAAGCGTGCCATGGTTATTGTCAAATATCATGGCATAGATCTGCATTTCTCCAGCCTTCCCCTGACTATCGTGGAAGATCTGCAGCAGCGAAAGGGTCTGTATATCCCACACTCTAAAAACCTGGAGGAAAAAAAGATGCATGGTGTGTCACTATTATATTTCCAACTATTAACAATTTGTATTACTGTAGCAATTAGCAGCCCTAACAAAGGTCAGGGCCCCATTGTATTAGGTAATGCACAAACACGTAGTATGAGACAGTCCCGGTCCTGAAGAACTTACAATCTAAATAGACAAGATAGACAAAGAAAGTAGCGGTATCCCATTTTATAGAGGGTAAACTGAGCACAGAGATGGAATTGCCCAATGTCTCAGAAGCAGTCTGTGACAGAGCTAGGATCTTAATCTCATGATAAGCGCTGGACTGGAAATGGCTTTTCCATCCCACAAAAATGTTTGAGTTCAAACTTTGCTGGTGCAATTTGGTACAAAAAATTGAAATCTCAAAAATTTTCATGAACCAAAAAACCCAATGTTTTTTGTTTCAGTTTGGATCAATCTAAATGTTTCATTTTGGTACTTTTTAAATGTCTTGTGATGCTGACCTCTTTTTTATTAATTAGACTAAAACGTTAGTGTACATTTTGAAACAAAGTGGTTTTAAGCACTGGGAAACCAGGTTTTTTTGTTTGAAAGCCTTGAAACTAAAAATATTGATAATTTTTTGTGGGGAAAATTGAGTTGGGAGATTCATCAGAACTGAGCTGGTTTCATGAACAGTTTCAGTTTCAATGAATATGTGTTTTTTGATGAAAATTCTCAATGTGTCCTACTTCTGTGTCTTAGTCTGCTGCCTTAACAAGATTCCCTGGCCTTTCCCCTACTTTACACTTCTCGTATAGGCGTTGATAAAAAACAAACAGATACTAGATGACAGTATTTTCAACATTGTGACCAGGGTCTCCAATGACAGACCAGGTATACAGTACTTTAACTACAGTCAGTAGGATTTATTTACATAAATGAATCTAACAGAAAAAGAATGAACAAAAATGATTGAAGACAGGGCACTTAAATACACCCCACCCCACCACACATCCCTCACTGCAGTAGCCCCCAGAGGTCCTAATCATGACCAGCCAGCCCCCTGCTGTACACACACACACACACAGCTCTCAGTACTACAACGTTATGCCATAATTCCATGTTTTAGCACAATGGATTTCCCAATAAAATAGACATATTATGCCACTAAAAGTTATTCTACTATCACTAGCAACTTTAGGCACAGATACGTGTCTAGTCTCATTCAACAGCCAAAATATGGTGATCATTTCACGTATGTGCAAGTTACTTGGAGTAATTAAAAAGCAACATTAGATTGTACTGGCTACACCCAGCTTTGACCTTTGATCCATGGCAGGGTGATGTGTCTATTGTTTAAATACACACACAAGATGTGTTAACCCTTATCTTTTCACTGGAAGAAAAGGTTGGGATGGTTCTGTAGTGTGACTAATGATTTAGGATTTTTGAACGAAATACTCTGTAATCATCAGTCCTTTTAATACACCAGTAAAAAGCACACTGATCATTCAGCAGGTAACAGATTTTTTTTAAACCTTCATGTTAAATACCTTCTATTTGTAAAATCTCACTGGCACCAGAGGGGGAAGTTAGAAGTAAATATTACTTTTTATCTTTTCCATGTATTGAGTCCCAGAAATTCCAGGGGACTCTGCTTGTCCCAAAAATAGAAATAATCTGATTAGTATCCTGGAGCTCCTGCTGTACGTTGTGAGCCAGATGGCGGCCTAATGCCTTTTTGAGGTCGTTTAATGTCACATGCGTTGCGCAATACCTGTGACTGCTTGATCTCCCACCCTATACAGAATCCCATGGGACCAGAGGAATTCAGATTATCAGAGCTCAGATTATCAGAGCTCAGTGAGCGAAGGAAACAGCCTCACCTGCAGAAAACACATTTCAAATTCCAGATATCCAAAGTTTTTTTTTTTAAATGGATAGTTGAAGCTACGTCCAATGCATCTATTTTATACACACAAACACATCTCACCTAAAAGGTCTTCAGTTGTGGCCCCTCTCCATCAATGATCAATAGTTCATTTATGCAGAGAATATTGAGTGACATAATCCATATTCACGGGCCTAAGGACACCACCATACATAGATGGGTCTACGAGCCAGAACCATGAAACCACTGTAGTTCTGCCGATGCTCACAATTTTACTGAGAGTCTCTCAGTATTTGGCAGCTTTCTTAAAGCCCTGTCTGCTAGAGTCAAGAGCCTGCATTTAAAACTTTCATTTTAAAAAAAGTTTCTAGTCTTCATGTTTACAAAGAAAAGCTTGAAAACGTGAAGCAGTGCATCCTAAAGGCTCTAGCAGGCTAACAAAGAGAACCTCAGATTTGTTTTATTTGGGGAAAAAAGCATGCCTCATGAACTTTAAGACAATATTATTGGGGGGGGACGACTCATGATTTTTAAATACTACACTGGGTGAAAGTTTGTGTCCTGTATTATTCAGGAGGTCAGGTGATCATATGGGTCTATTCTAGCCTTGAAATATGTGAATTTATGCCTCATGCTTGGAGTGGGGAAGGAAGGAGCAGCCCTATATGCTTGGGGGTGCTGAGGGCATTGTAACTGCACAGTGCAGGGGCAGACATAATACCCCAGAAGCATGAGGGGGGAGTGCATATACTCACCGTTGCTACATCTATACTGTTGGCGTGCTGCCCTGCGTCCATTAACCAGTCTGTACATAAGGGAGAGAAAGACCAAAGCCATGCTGCCATCTCCATTCTGGGGTTTGCAACACTGTGGTCAGTGCTGGGCAGCCCCTTCCTCAACTGTCTTGAAGTGTTTCAAGTTATAGAAGTGTCTATGTCTTATTTTCCTAGCTCACTCACACAAAACTCCCACAATTTAGAAAGAAACACAGGAGGAAGGTGATGTAATGCATGCAAAACAAAACCATTCTGAGGAGGGACACACTGCATTGTCCTCATTTACTAGGAGCAGTTACATCTATTACATGAGAAAGAATGTGATCTTGTGGCTAAAGCTCTGGACTAGGACTTGGGAAAAGTGGGTTCTTTTCCCAGCTCTCCCACAAATTTCCTTAGGCAACTCACTTCACCTCTGCACCTTGGTCTGTAAAGTGAGGGTAATGATACTTTCCTGCCTCACAGATATACTGAGACTAAATCAATGATTTCTGAGGAGCTCAGAGGCTTTGGGTGAAGAGCATGAAAATCTTCCAGATAAATATGCCAGAGACAGGTTTCATTTAGTCTTTCCCCAAAAGGGAGCGTCTCAGCAGGTCCATGTTTATTTTGTGTATTAAAATGTTTTACACTCATGCTATAAAGTACATGCTTAGATGGCTCCTCAAATCTTGTATCAATGGACATGATAATGTAAGACACCTTGAAAAATAGGGCAGCCACATCCACAGCTATAGAAACATACAGAGTTAAGATATCTGCAGCTTCTGCAACAGAGCCATGAGTAGCTTCAGGCATAGATATAGTGCAAGCAATGGGGCTGCTGCACCAGTCCAGGAGGGAGCAATTCTATGCCATATAGTCTGTTTCTGTGCCCTTGCCTTAGGGCACAATTTATTGATTGGACCAAATCTTAGGCAAAATTATTTCCTCTGCCCCCAGGGGCTACAATTCACAGAGGTTTTTTCTTCTCCTCTCTCATCCTCTTCGGGTCCTTGCCCTAATCCAAGAACTCAGGCAAGCAGGGGTGCTGGAACAATTTTTATAGTGGGGGTGCTGATGATGGAAACCATGTGTTTGTTGTTACTACTTCAAGCCAAGGGGTGTGGCAGCACCCCCAGCACCCTAGTTCCAGCACGCCAGAGCTTCTCAGCAACTCTCCAGGTCAGCAGAGCTATTGCTGGCTTTATAAGACCCCTTTGTCAGACTATCACCTGACCCCTAACCTCACAACCCCAGCTTGGAGGTAACTGATCAGTCACAGGTGAGGCTGGGTCCAGTCACTCAGTGACATATGGTGAGAAGAAAATGCAACTTTTGGGAACTCCCATTCAAGCTAAGATTCTCCAGTGAATCTCCAGGATAGAGCTGCACATTTCTGGGAGGGTGGGTGAGAGGGATTCAAAAACAAAGATGCATTTAGTAGCTAGATTAAGGGCATTGTTGCATTACATACATGCAACCCCAAGGGATCTTATCTCCGCAACGGGAAAGAGGGACCTAAAACTCACTGTTCGCACATTGACTTGACTATTGCAAAAGGACAGTGCCATGGGCCTTGTGGAAGCCACCCATAAGCATCAGCTCATGATAGGAATGGAAATACCAAGAGAAAAAGAAACCAACAGAGTTAAAAGCACAAATATCTAGGACAACAATAAGAGTAGAGCTCATTTCCAAATGCTTTTCTGACTATTATATTAGATACTACAGATAGGCACCCTATAAATACCTACCACAGATTAGACAGATGAAACATTTTCTTGATCTCTTTCTGCTCACTGTAGGGATATACAGGTCTGTCTTATCTTATGCTGGGGTTAAGTTCCGCGGTCAATGCATAAAGCGAAAACCGCATATAGTCAAAATTATATTGAGTTCAATGGCAGGCGGAATCGCCCGCACTACAGGTACAGTATTAAAATTGTTATTTTTCTCTTTTTTTGTTTGTTTGTTTGTTTTGTTTTTGCCGACCGCATAAAGCTGAAATCACGCATGTTAAATGTGCATAAGATGCGACAGACCTGTAATTTCGTAAAGCTTTTAATGACATGCTACATATTGAGTTCACCAATGAATTATGAGGAAATTACTTGCAGCCAGTATTACCTCAGAAGTGACCCAAACTATTATTTTATGTGAAACTCAAGTTCACCATCCCCAGGATGCTATTGATTTAGAAACTTCTATCACTTGTAGGGAGAGGGCAGATTAAACTTTCATTAAAGTCAGTTTGAGCTCTAAAGTAATTGCTCTTTAGTTCATCTCTCCTAGTGTCAAGAAAGCAAATCTGACAGGAAGAACATATAGAAAAAACAAAAACATGACATCTGTCAACTTCATAAGGAAAAGCAGTTAGGATCAAATTT